AATCAATTTTGATGGAAAAAATCGAGGCAAAATAGTGATTTTTGGCAATTTTGAGATGTCCCCTCGTTGCCATGGTAACAGGGAATTTAAGACTGAGCATGTCGTTACAAAGGTAATGGTCCAGTCAACATTTGCGCTAAGTTTGATTAGTATTGAAGCATTTTTCTTAGTTTCATTGCAGTTTGAACTTGTAACAGGAGGCTTTTCAGTGAAAATGGCCATTTTTCGCAATATGCTCATGGGGTAAAAGGTTAAAAGACTTAGAAGTTATAATAGTTCTATATACAAAGTGAAGAATTCAGCATAAAGACATTCATGTACAATGAAAGAGTGTAACACAGTATATGGATATATTTTGACGTGTTTGGTTATATATGAAATTCAGCGGTTTATATTAAAAAAAAAAACAACATTATATATCTTTCAAATATTTAAAATTAATGGTTAACCTCTATTTTCATGAAAAGTAGAGTTTATTAATCGAAACTTGCTTTGTTTCCCATGTAATTTTCAAGCTAGCAACATACGAAGGTTTATTAAATATTTTCACCAGTGTGTAACAAAGGTTATTTAAAGAAAGTTTTACAGAAAAAGCAGTTCATTTCTTCATTTGCATCATTTAAATCAAAACAAAAATCACGTTGCTATTTACCGTCAATATTTTTAAAAGCATCGATTAAGATATTAGCGAAGATATTATTGCCATTGGCCAACAATCATAAAGTTTGAAACTATTTTATTACCTAGCTTATTCTTAAAAAATGATTCACATTTATTAAAAAATGTATACTTTGCCTTTAAAAGGAAAGATGATTAACATTTTCTCTTAAATTGTTTATAAATCTTTATTTATTTTTCATCACAAAGAAATATCAAATCAAGATATATGTATATATATAGCATTTCATCGAGGAGATAATTCACTGTATATTTATCTCAAAAAGTATCCAAATTTTATTGATTTTTATTTACTTTGCACTTTAACATTTACTCTTAGATAGTGTACTACTCTATTTCATCACACACATACCGAAATATTCTACATCTTAAAGATGAGGCAATGAACTTATATCTAGTCTCTCCTTTTGTTTTTTGTTACAAATCCAAAATGTTCAGTTGTAATTATGTTCATGTAACAGTATTTCTTGTCTATAGTTTTTGCTAGAAACGTTGTTTAATGTTTAAAGCAAATTAACGTTATTGTATTGTTTTGTATTGTATTGTATTGTATTCATAAATTTGATTAATGAATATATATGTCTTTATTAATGAACATACAAATTCCATTTAACATTTTTATGTAACTTGTAGAATTTTTCTGATGATAAATCTGTTATATAAAAATGCATATTTAATTACGTTTAAAACAGTTTATCCTCAACACCATAATATCAATTTTGGTTGATTTAAAATAACGTTCTATAGTATAATTACTGAAGCTCGTACTATATATAACGCCATTAAAATGTAACGTAACATTATCTTCAAAGTTTATTTTAAAAATCATTGAAAATTAGTATTGAAATTGTATTGTTTATGCATTTCTATCAATGTATCATCACATTTAGTATGATTATGTACTATGTACATGTCAAAATAAAATAATGTTCTGTTCTGTATTGTATATCCGAAGACTTAGAATTGCTTTCTTTAGATTCGTTTTACGGCGAACGTATGGCATACATACATACATACATACATACATACATACATACATACATACATACATACATACATACATACATACATACATACATACATACATACATACATACATACAAACACAAACAACCAAACAACAAACACACAAACAGATTCATACAGAGTGTCAATTGTTTCTTTCAAGCAGCTGTGTTCACAGATATATATGGCTGCACATTTGCACAAAATTTTTTAAACAAATTATAAACAGTTTAAAAACAATTATTTGTACGTGCAATGTAATCTATGCAGGAAAAGCTAATAACAGGTGGTGCCAAAATGCTGTGTATACCCTTAACGATTACACAACGATTTCGTTAATGAATTTTACTAACGACTGATTAGCGATAACATAACGAGGCTTTCTGGTTATGCAACAAAAACAATCGGTAAAATCACTAACGCGTTCGTTACGCGATCGCTAACGCTTTCGTTAGCGTGATTTTAACGAAAGCTTCGGGTTACTCACCCCAGGTCAAAAATCTAATACTTAAATCAGTTAATGAATAAAAAGCTTAACAAGGTGCATTGCCAAAAAGTTTCAACGATATATATAAAAAGCAGATGGGCCATTTATCCTCTATTGTGACATTTTTCACTGAAAGAAAATGACAAGATTAATGTTATTGTTTCTTGTTCATTGTATATGCTTTCATTGATGTTAGCTGCTTGCCTCAGTTCCGCTGTCTGACTTCACTCAACATGATTTCCTAGTTCAAGTGATTGATGCAGAATGTCCGTTGTTGGGGTTGTAAATGAATGACAGGCATGCTTCGAAGATGAAGGTTTGTTTTAATGTTAGAATGGAAATGCATATTAATTCTTTCTTGCATTTTAGTATTATAAGGTTTGTTGTTCAAATGCATTTTAGTCTTGATAATATTCCAACGCATTTAAACTATACCCATGCATTTTTACATTATTGGCAACAACAAAGTTCTAAATTAAAAGTACTATTTGTATATCCGTTTAGAAAACCATCTCTACAAGACAGATTAAGCCATCACATTTTACCGTATCATTTCCTGAAATATCTCATTTGTGAATATTAAAGATTTATCTTTTTACAGGAAAATTTAATTCAATTAAAGTCTTACACGTCTTGACTAGTTTACATACAGTATTTCTCGGAATACCATTTGCTTCTATTTACTTCACACAGTTGTCGTCCGAACCGTATAATAATTTGCTTAATTAAAATCTAAAGGTGTCTTTGGACGAAACCTTCATTCAATTATTTCTCTTGCCATATTCCGGAAGTACGGTTGGATTACATAATTGATTTGTGAATAAGAAGAACGTGCTACCTGACAAATGTTTATCAGCCTGGACAAGACATGGAAGTGCAACTACCTTGAAGTCAAGGCATTATTTTGTAGATTGATTGACATTTCAAAAACTAATTGGGAATCAATTTCAATAGTATTGACTTTTCACACAAGCTATTTGTCAATCAACAAATCATTTATAAGCATTCAAACTGGTAAAACTTGTTTCAGAATAAAATTAAATTACGAATATATACAGTTTAGTATAGCTGAATTTACTTAAATAATTAGGACCATTTTTTATTTGTTATTAAAAATTAAGAATAAGTTTACTTCAAAAATAATAAAATCTATCCTGTTTGCAAAACATATGAATACAAGACCAACATAAAGATTATGAATACAAAACAGAAAAAAAGTCAATATGAACTTTTAAGTTTTAACCCTACTTTGATCCACATTTCAATACAACAAAAGGCAATATAAAATATTTACAATGTTTTGTATACATACATATGAAATTGAGGTTAGTTTTGTTATAAAAGACAAAACAACAAAGATAAATAATTTATATTTTAATATATAAAAACAATGAATATTATTTTACATAATATCACTTAACCAACAAAACTGAAACAAATCTAAATAACCACACATGCAAAAAATTCAATTGTATGATTATGATTTTATTGCAGCAGATACTAGCACTATGGTATGCAATGAAACACTGTATTTGTGTGATAATGGAACTGGCCTGCTTTTAACCTGGAAGAGTTCATCATAATTTTTAGGGGTTTTTGCTTAGTTTGCAATGAACTTTGGCATCACTACACTAGTGGGATAATGGAACTGTCCTGTTTTTTTTTTAAATTCAAGAGTCCATTGTAATAGGGTTTCTTCATCACAACTCTGGAATCACCATATTTATGTGATAAAAGAACAGTTCTGCTTTTAGTTTGGAAGAATCTACTATAACTTTTTAAGGGGTTTTATCAATGAAAAGCTATAAATGATTTGCGAACGGTTATAAGCGAGTGTTGTCTGATGACATTTAATGGATTATACCAAGATTGTTCTGTTACATCATTATATCATAGTGTAACAATAGTCATGTTTGTTCTATTATGAAATCAAATGACATCGTACAAATAATCCATATACTTTTGTAAATGTAATTTATTATTTTAAAGACTCAGACTTTTGTGGTGAGTGGCAAGTGGCTTGAAGTCAAGACCTTGACCAGTCAGCCTCGCATGCCCCTCATCAGATTATCATAGCACATCAAAAACCAAGAATTTCCTGTAATTGTCACCAGGGTTACATAAGATTATATAATGGTATACCCTTAGAGCACATTAATTTCTTGAATGTCATATCATAGCAGTTTAATAACCAAGCGAGCGTTTCACTAACATTCCGTAATTTTTGCATAAATTTATGTTAGTTGCGTTTCACTATATAGAACATGCAATTTACACCAGCAATAAGTGTGCGTAACTTTACGTGTAAACTTACGCAAATGCGAAGCTAAGAAAGTTTAATGAAACGCAAATAAATACGTAAGTTCTGCTAATGCAAAAAGATATGTTCAAACTTGAGTTACGATAACGTATGTAGTTAGTGAAACACACCCCAGGATTGTACCACAAAGGCATAGCCTTACAATACATCCACACCAAACTTGGTCTGTAATGTCATAATATCATACTACAAATGCTAAGAATATTTTGAAATGCCAGTGCATCACAGCATATCAATAATCCTAAACATTTTATAGTTTAATATCTATGTTACTGTATTTTTACCACAATTAACAAATTTTCTGCTGCATGTATGTCCTTCCAATCTCCTAAGAAATATGAGCCGCTTCACGACAAAACCAACATAATGTGTTTGCGACCAGCATGGATCCAGACCAGCCTGCGCATCCTTGCAGTCTGATCAGGATCCATGCTGTTCACTATCAGTTTCTCTACTTGTTATAGGGTATGTAAGCAAACAGCATGGATCCTGATCAGACTGCAAGGATGCGCAGGCTGGTCTGGATCCATGCTGGTCGCAAACACATTACGTTGGTTTTGTCATGGCGCGGCTCATATTTGTCCCACTGTCTCATTACATATCAATAAGCCTGACTGTAAGAACCTTCAGGGTCTGTGATATCATTATCTCCTACTTCATTGCTTTCATCTCCTTCATTTTCAAGTTCCTATACAGAAAAAATAAACGTAATGCGATCATTTAATGAAATCTTTAATCAAGCCTTACAGTATGCCTTAATGTACAATGTTCTAACATCTGGAAAAAGAGACAGTTAAATCATCTGCTGTTGTAAATGGTAAAGTGCATAATACATACTTCAGATATACATATAAATTTATGACTTACCTTGCTCAACTTTTATTGAACTAGCTCTTATTTGAACCTTAGAATTTGGTTAGAGAACCACTGTGACAAATAATTCAACTCTGGACAAATATCTAGTTTCTGGTGAGAAGATATCAAAAGCCTCTTTACTATACAAGTCCATATAAGAAAAGTTAGTCTGGAGCAGGGCCATTTTTTACCCAAAGTCTGCTTAGCAATGCTATATGCCAAATATCTGAACTCTGAGACGTGTAGTGTCTGAGATGGTTTAAATGCCTTTCCCTTTATAAGTGTATGCTTTAGGGACAGGCCAATTTTGACCCTGAGGTAATGATTTTTGTAACTTTAAAAGGAATTACTGACTATTTCTTCATGTTAAATATGGAAGCTTTGTTTAATGTAGGTTTACTATATCAGATAATGTAAAATAAGTGACCCCTGAGCAAGGCAATATTGACCCCAGGTGCATTTTCTATATAACTTTTGCTGAGGCCCTAGCTAAGCTAGGACATGCAGTTTCAGAGAAGATTTTTTCCATATAAAATAGAGAAAAACAGAATCCCTAAAGAAAGTCCAACACAACAAAATTGAAAATGTTGCAGGCTCAGTTTGATTGAGCCTGTTCATGGATGGTAATGGAAAGTGCAAGTTACCGTCCACGCCCCCTAGCACCGACTTAAGAAGAATTCAACATTTAACACGAAAAGGTGAAATTTTGAATTTAGAAACATCCGCAGATGTGATCATACGGCGGTTATCATGGAACCTTCAATGTGACACAGTAGTGCCATTCCATGAAAAGCGTCGTATGGTCCCCAAGTAAAAGAATGCTTTTGCCCTAAATGAGAAAACATGGGCAGAACCAAATTAAATTGAATTTTAAAAGGGTAAACTTGGATCAATATCAACACTGGTGCATATCCTACATATGGTGGTGATGCTACATGAATAAATTTAAGCTTTAGGTATAATTTACAATTATAGTTTTTGAGAAAAAAGCTTTCTTTTCATGCACAGGTATGCTTGAAAACATGAATAGTCAGAATAGATAACAAGTGTTCATATAAATTGAAACATTTTACAACTGTAGAAATTATATATAGAACATTACCACATCACTGAGGTCATCGTCGTCTGGTAAAGTTTCCCCGTCACTGTCACCACCATCTTGTGTTACATTTGTCTGAGATAGAATCTCCTCTCCCTGTTAAACATCATTAAAGTATGTTGAAAAATGTGTTCAACTTCTATACTGTTTAAAAAAAAAACAATGTACAACGTTCATGCCTGACTAATAGTATCATCAGATTATTCATGAAAAAGGTTGAAAGAATTTCTCAGAAAGCTGCCTGGCCTGGCTCTATATAAGTGGTAAAAGCAGATCAGTTAACATTCCAGTAGGGTAAACGTTAAAAAATGAAAATGTTTTAATTAAGAATTTGAGCCGTGTCATGACAAAACCAACGTAATGCGTTTGCGACCAGCATGGATCCAGACCAGCCTGCGCATCTGCGCAGTCTGATCAGGATCCATGCTGTTCGCTTACAAACCCTATTACAAGTAGAGAAACTGATAGCGAACAGCATGGATCCTGATCAGACTGCGCTGATGCGCAGGCTGGTCTGGATCCATGCTGGTCGCACACCCATTATGTTGGTTTTGTCATGACACAGCTCATTTAGTTATATCTGCAGTAAAGTTCATACAACAGTCATCATGGTAAAAACAAAACTCAAGGTCCGTGAATCAAATGCTCTTTCAACTAAATTGTTCTACATATTTACAAGTATATAAGCAGTATACCTGTAGATCTCTGTTTTTGAGATTTCCCATCCAGAATGCCTCTAGACATTTGTTCACTGTCAACATAGCTTTAACACGGAACACAAATACTTCCAGGGATCTCTTCAACATCGGTACATTATTCGTCAATGCTAAATCTTTCATAATCTTCAAAGTAAAAAAGGAAATGATTTCAATGATTAGTGGCATATTACTTTATCTATAGATAATACATAGAGGATATTTGTTTAGTTCAGTGTAAGATCGGAATATATTTCACCGAGTGAGCACCAAAAGGTATATTTTCATGAGTGGCACAGCCACGAGTGAAATATGAACTTTTGGTGTTCACAAGGTGAAATATATTTCGATCTTACACTAAATTAAACAAATTTTCTTTTTATTATATGCAAAGAAACGTTTTAAAAAGACATTAAACCTAATACTGAATGAAAAGCACGCTGGTATTTCACTGAAACAACGTAAGGGGCTTAAATTCAAAACAGTGAAATTATCAAAGTGGTAATTTCACTGTTTCAAACAGTGAAATTACCAGTTTTATATCACTGATATATTTCTATAAACCACCGAAAAGCATGTAATAAAATTAATTATTACTTTCATATACTCTGACTCCAGTGATTTTCTTGCTTATATAACAGACTCCGATAAAAGGCCTCTTCCCAATTGAAATTTTCTTAAAAATCATGCAGTTTTAAACCTGCTTTTTTACTTCCCAAATAAGCAATTTTAGAGATAATTTGTCCCAAAATCAAGAGGCTTAGGCCTCTGCCAATTAAGTGAGTAAAATCACTGGACTCCTGAGGGTTATTCGAATTACAGAAGTTTTTAATTGGAACAAAGCATCCTTCCAAATAGCACAAATATTAAGCCCTTCTCAGCCCTTTACCAAGAGAACTATCATAAAATGGACATGTCCGTCATTCATTCTTGACAAAACTATTATTTTTAGGTAAATTTTAAAAATAATAACTGACTAAATAGCAAACAGGGCACAGACTATAACCAGACGACACATCTATGGTGACTGATATTGGTCTGCTATGGTACCATGGTTAATTTATTTTGCTGCCAGCAGGCTAAATGTTAAATCTGATGAAGGAGATGTTTGAAGTTCTATTTTATAACATTTGCAACAAATTTATTCATTTTTGTGAACAGTTTTACATCAAATTAGGTTCGACATCTTAAGTTTGTAATTGAAGTGTGTGATAAGTTGCTATAAATTAAAATTATTGATGTCTTTTTACGATCATAAAAATACAAATGTACCATTTGTGTTATATATGAAGTAATGGCAAACATGCAAACTGGTGGTCTAGTAATTAAAGGGATCTAGCATCAAACTGAAACATTCTTTGTTAAAGCGGTACTGGAGTTCTAATCTTTCATCCATTTCCTCTAATGACACAGGTAAACCTTATTTTCAGAAAGTTGACTTTATTTACACTGCTACACATTTATGTTACAAACTCACCATGCTTAGAATCTAGAAATGATCCTTGTTCATTTAAAGAGAATATCAAGATCAAAGTACAACAATAGAAGCAGTAAACTGTACAAGACTGACTCAATATTGGTGTCACAGACAAATTCTGTAAAGAGAAAACCCTACTAGGGCAATGGAAGCAAATTTGTAACCTCGTTAGAGTGGCCCTATCTTCAGAATGACCCCCTGTAAAGCAATAACCTTTTATCAACAACTTTATTTATTCTTTCCAAAGGAGGAATTCACAATTAATGTAACATCTATATAGCAACAGCTCTCAGAAACAACCGAAGTGTATGTTACAAAAAGGCTTCCCTGTAGTCGAAAATATTAAACTTGGTTTTTTATGAGTGATTATAATGGAACGTGCAACATCTTTCACAATCCCTAGCAAGTGACTATAGCCATTTAAAGTCACACAGGTAAGCCCACATTATATATCATAATCATTTATTCAAGTAAATGGAGGATTTACCTTAGAATGTCCACACAAGTGATGAAGTGCTCGTGTACTTTGTTGTAAGTTTTTCAACAGTCCCAATATATCCTGTCTGTGACTTTTAAACATCATATCTAACAATGGCATTCCAAGTCTTAGGAAAGCTTCAACAAAAAATCTACCATACTGAAAAATGAAACACAAATTTATGGGGTCTGTATCAAAATTACATGAAGCTTTTTGATATTAAAATATCTGTTCAGAATGAAATAGCTGTTGTGTAATAGATAATTATTAACTAACTGTTTCCAGAATGAATTCAAAATTACTCAGTCTACTGTAAAATACCTGGTCAGAATACAAGAAACAAGAACTGTCGGAGGACAGTAAGGCTCGACTATTCGAAAAAGTTGTCACAAGGGTGTTTTATTGAGTATAATAATGCTTACCTATGAATACATAAAATTGACCGAAAAGGTACAAAGGCTTGTTATTAAGATGTTTTATCAAGTAAATCACTGCTTTATTATTATGAATGCATAAAATTGTCCCAAAAAAGGCACAAACCCTTCAGTAGTTATGGAGATAACAGCTTACAAGCAAAACTTTACCATGAATTTCTAAGTTGAGAAAGGGGAGAAAAATCAGCCTAAATGCTTTAATCAAAATTTGGAAATGTTTTATGTAAATAAAAAAGATGCTGAATCAAATATTTTCAAAATAACTCCAGACTTGTCCCGTATAAATTTGTAACTATCCATTGTTATCTTCATGTATTATAAAAATTAATCAAAGAGCTAAATTAAGCAGTCAGCAGTATCGAATCTAGTCAGAATTCATAGATGTATATGATGACCCAACTTTACTGGTGACTTAGGTCCCTTATATTGAAAGGGTGCACTTCATAAGTCAGTCATTTTGCCATGACTATATTCAAAGGGTTCAATCCAGAAGCCAGTTGATTTCCATAGCCATATTCAAAAGGTTCAATTTAGATGCCAGATGCTTCCAAGGATTAACTTTAACATTCAATTCAAGCCAGACTTTTTGCAGTGGTTCTACTTCAAGTGTGTAATAAAGAAACCAGTTGTTTTCCAATGGCTCTACACATAAGGTTCAATTAAGAAGCCAGTCTTTTTGTCATGGCTAAGCCATATTCAAAGGGTTCATTCAGAAGCCAGTTGCTTTGCCAAAGCTTTACTCTAAACATTCAATTCAGAAGCTAGTCTTTTTGTAAAGGTTCTACTCAAAGTGTGCAATAAAGAAACCAGTTGTTTGCCATAACTCTACTCAAAACATCTAATTAAGAAGCTAGTCTTTTTGAAAATGGCTATTCTCAAAGAGTGCAATTAAATAACCAGTAATTTTGCCATGGCATTAAGTACATGTTGACCTGTGTATACTGCATCACCTAAGACCATCAAGTTCTGATAACTGATAGCATATATCTTACCTTTATACATGTTCCCAAGTTTCCTCTTCCATCAAATGTCTGAAATATAACATATCACTCTTATCAGAATTGCCAAGTTAATACTTACACTGCAAAAATTTTACCTGTCCTGCTTTGCATTGGATAGAGTAAATGAAATTTTATTAATACAAAAATATTAAAGCCAACAATATGGAGAATGATCATACCATATGTAATGAAGACATTTTGTTTTGTAACTATATGTTAAATGTCACCGATGATCAGACTAGAACCTGAAGCCATTAAAACCCTTAAATTATTGTTTTCGAGACTGTATTTTTGTTCGCTGACAAAAAATCATATGCATTCTTTACTGAAATTCAAAACATTATTGGTTCTGAAAGACAATTATATTAGCCGCGTCACGACAAAACCAACATAATGCGTTTGCGACCAGCATGCATCCAGACCAGCCTGCGCATCCAAGCAGTCTGATCAGGATCCATGCTGTTCTCTATCAGTTTCTCTACATGTTATAGGGTTTGTAAGCAAACAGCATGGATCCTGATCAGACTGCGCGTATGCGCAGGCTGGTCTGGATCCATGCTGGTCGCAAACCTATTATGTTGGTTTTGTCGTGACGCGGCTCATACACTTCAACAAAGTTTCTACGAGTATGTTTTGTTAATGTGTTAAGATAAACTTTCTATAGCTCTCTGGGAGGATGACCTTAGGTGCCCCTCCATGCATTATTTCAGGCATGATCAAGCAACTGAGTAGAACCACTGAAGTTCCATAAACCAGCTGGAAAGCTTTCATCACATGACAGAATTCAGTCCCTAGAAGGTTTTTAACCCACAGAGGAGAGCAGGCAGGATTTTTTGGCATAACTGTGTCACAAGCCGCCAACAAATATTATTTTATATTAAGCCCTTTATATGTGCTAATGTAATAAAATACAAATATCACCTTGACAAGATTGACTAGAATATGGAATATCCTTACTCCTACATTCCACTGTAATAGCCTGTCAATCCATGTCTGTAAAATATAATACATTCAACAGATTTACTTTATATACTTGGTACAAATTTTGGAGTAAAGTATTTATATATTTATTTCTCAGGTTGCCCTCCTTGCATTATTTAAGGTACTAAAGTGGCACCTAAATGGAACATTCACCATTCTGTAAGCAAGCTTGATAGCTTCTTCACATAAAAGAATCCAAAGTCCCTGGTAGGATTCAAACTCACATTGGTGAAGGCGCCAGTGATTTGAAGTCACTGATCTTAACCATTCAGTCTATATATATATGATATTTATAAAGTTAAATCATCACTGATGTCATCTACTGTAAACAACCTTTGACACCATTATAAAAACAGGCTGCACGTCTATGATATTCTGTTTGGTTCTATACTGTTGGCTGACCAACTTAAAACTTTCATCTCTATATTCCAAAAATTTATAATGGACGGTTCCAAGTATCGAAGTTGGACAAGAACATTTATGAATATTAACAGCATTAGGAATGATTCAATCTTGATTTACTTCTTCCTTTGTCAAAATACTCCCTAAAAGTACTGTTTCTTCAAGAGACTATGCTGTCACCTAATGATACTTTAATAATTAAGGATTATACTCTTTTAGACCACAGCAATTCCACTGAATAATGTTATGATTTCTGTGTGACATTTTCAAATTGATTTTTGAAATTAATTACATGGGGAATTTAATCAGACTTCTACCATGTATCCAGGGAGACGTTCAAGTCCACACCCTCCATTAATTCAGCATCTTATAATAAAGCAGTATTAGGGTAAATACTATTGTGTATATTGTTTGTTTGTTTGACTGGGTTTTACGTCAACCAACACAGTATATGTCATATAACGATGTCCCAGCTTTACTAATGGAGGAAGACCTCAGATGCCCTTCCGTACATTATTTCAGGCACAAACGGGCACATGAGCAGAACCCCCGACATTCCGTAAGCTACCTGGTAGCTTCCTCACATGAAAGAATCCAAAGTCCCCATCTGGATTCAAACCCAGAGCAGTTAGGGGCAAGTGGTTTGAAGTCAACGACCTTAACCACTCAGCCACGGGCGTCCCTACTATGGTGTATATACTTGAATTAGACATTCATGTGAGCAGTGAGTGAAAACCCTAAAAGAGCCACATAAAAATATCAAAATAAAGAAATCTAAATTTCACTAAAATAGTATTGCCTAAATTACTGTAACTAAATTGCCTAAATTACTATAACTAGAAGATCTCCATGTATAGAGGTGAATATTGCAAAAATAAGTAATTTTTCTATTTATACCACAATAGTTATAATATAACCTGTTTCAAGTGAAATGATATAAAGTGTCTTACATCAATCAGATCTGATTGTTTGACTGGTGGTATACCTTTCACAGCTTCTATAAGTTCACTGTACAAAACACGATAATACACTGTGTACGATGATCTAAAATAACAAGATAATATACTTTTACAATAAATTCAATTTTGTTATTACGTGACATACATACTTTGATGAAAACAGACATTGCTTTTATAATGTTATTGCATCATGGACTTATCCAGTTTTGAGTTTGAAAATGATCATTATTAATGTAAGTACATGTAAGTGTAAATCTATAAAAAAAATCTCTTAGAAAAAAAAGTGTTATTGAATTAAATTCTTGCAACAACAATACCTTGTATATGCAATCAGTAACATCAAGCTTAACAGCACAACTGTGCCATTAATGCCATTAAACTATGCTCCACATTGTTGGCTACTTATTTTGGTATTAAAATTTTCTTCACTGAAAATGGACTGTTCCATATTTAAAATAGGAAAAGTCCATATTAGAAGTTTAGTAGGGTAAGGTTTAAATAAGAAATGTTTACACAACCAAGGTCATAACAAGCCAAGGCACAACAATCAATAAGAAATTGGAGAGAAAAAAAGCATAAATCATAGCATGTATTTAATTATCGTATTTGCTTACAACCACTTTCCACCTTTACTGATGCAGGAAAACCTCACATGCCCCAATGCATTAAATCAGGCACAAGTGGGTACTTACGTAGAACCACCAGACTTCTATAAGCTAGCTGGAAAGCAGCCTAACATGTAAGAACCCAAATTTCTCTAGCAGGATTAAACCCACAGCAGTAAAAGGCAAGTTGCATGTAGTCAGCCACCATAACCACTTAGCCACTGAGGTCCATTTGCTACCAGTAAGTAATAAACCAATGTATAAATGAGCCATGTCACGACAAAACCAACATAGTGTGTTTGTGCAGTCTGATCAGGATCCATGCTGTTCCCTATCAGTTTCTCTACTTGTTATAGAGTTGGTAAGTGAGCATGGATCCTGATCAGACTGTGCTGATGCAAAGGCTGGTCTGGATCTATTCTGGTCGCAAACGCACTATGTTGGTTTTGCTGTGACGCGGCTCATATAACATAAGAATAGTTATTGTCAAACCTGTTCATAGTTGGATATGTTGCTGAGCAGCCATTTTTATCAGTTTCCAACAGTTCTGGTATAGCTTTAGATGCTATAACTTCAACAGCTTTCAGAGGATCTTCAGAATGTACAACATATGACCTGAATTATATAGTGATCTGACATAAACTGAGTAGCCATTGTTATAAAGATAACATAATCCTATCTAAAACCAATTTTAAATTTTCAGCCAATAAAAAAAATTACATGTATATATCTCAAATATTTCAATCACGGAGGTTACTCTTGTATTAAAATGAAGCTTTCTTTCATAGGTAAGTCTCTCTTTAACTCATTTCAGTGCAAAGTACAGTGTACATGTATTAATATGAGTTTGGCAAACTATTTGGTATTCTTTTACAGGAATGACATATTGGAATAGTTATACTTTCATGAGTTTAACATCTTGGCTTACTATTTTAGGTTTAGCAGACTGGCTTTCTGTTATGGATTTGACATACATGTATTGACTTACTTTTGTTGCTTTAAAATATTGGCTTACTATCATGGGATTTACAGCATATTGGCTTATTTATTTAGTATGGCATACTGACTGGTGTCCTTTTGACATATTGGCTTGATATGATGGGTATGACATATTAGCTTTTTTAATGAGATCGACATATTGACTTATTTCTATGAGTATGAAATATTGGTTAAATTTTATGGGGTTAACATATTGTATTTCTATAATGGGTATAACACATTGTCTAACATTTGTGGGTAAGGTATATTGGCTTAAATTTTAGTTATGGCAAATTGGCTCAATTAAAAAAAATGGTTTATATTTGCTAGGTTTATGGATTTTGTAAATTTAATGTTGTTATCTATGAAAGTCCTAGAGTAATAATATTAACAGACTTACTTTATAATAATCTGTAGGTGCTCATTAAATTTGCTGCCCTTTTCTCTCTGTCCATCATGACCTATCCATTCTCTCTTGAGAAATTCTTCAGATATTGGTACTAAAATAATTCACAAAATATTCATTAATGTCAATTTTAAAGAGAATTTCCTCCTTGATGTCTTATTTATCAAAATTTAACATTCTTGGCAGTTAAAATTTATTATTTTCATATGAAATCCCTTATATAAGCAACAGTATGTTCCAAATTTAAAGCAGAGCAAGATTTGATTACTTTAAGCAGTGAAAGAGTTAAATTTACAAATATTTACCAAGTTTCCTTGTAAGTTGCCTGTCTTCTGATTTCTCACAAAGGGAGGTAAGAACTTTGAGCAACATTACTGCAGTACCAATATCAGGTACTGTGTTGGCAAAGTTAGATATATACTTTACAGCTGTTCTAAAACGAGAGAGCAAAATTACATAATTAGGCTGAATTTACTAACACAACTGTGATGATTTGTTTATTTATGATCTAAATACAGTGTAACCCCTGCACAGCGACTCTCTGAAAAGAAATTACCTATTTACAATGATAACAATGTTGTTCCCAAAGTAATAATGCACAGTAAATTTTATGTCTCTTGAGCAACACCTCCCACTCAACAATAACAAAATTCTATGTCTCCCACAGGGTGTTGTTCTGCAGAGGTTGCACTGGTTTTTTTTTTGAATTTGTACACTGAAATCCCTTTAAGGAAGCCTACGATTGGTTTTTTAGCCTATTTCATAAATCAACTTATCACATAAACCGCGGCGGAGGAGTGTAATAAAGCCATTTAATAAAAACGATATTACACTAGTGTAATAACACTTTGACGTGACGTCATTTGCGCTATATATAAACATAGCGTTAAAGCGCGCTAATGTTAGCGTTACACTATAGGCGCGTCATTGAAAAATTACTCATTTTAACAGTTTACTGTTTTTATTTTATATATGTGATAAATAGAATATCATATTCGTGTAGATTCAATACTAAATTTATTGAACTCGTTGAATAAAACAATATTATGCTCGCCAGAGGCTCGCATAATATGATTTTATTCAACTCGTTCAATAAATTTAGTATTTAACTACACTCATTCAATATCCTCTATTTGTGCACTTAAAATTGAAAAGTATACAATAGGTAATAATTATGAAAATATACTCCGTATTAAACTGTAAATCAACTATTTTGGCAACGCTTTTCATCTTGGGGTAAATTTGCATAATAAAATTAACTATCCCTTGGAAATGGAGTGAGCAAATGATCTGTAATTGTGTATACAAGTTATTGGTCCAGATCCATGTTTTATTAGAGAGTCTTGAAAAAATAGCTGTGGTCTTTTATGTTATAAAGCCTCAGTGTAGTCCCTTCAAGCTACTAACAGACTGCTACAAAGAAAATTCATTATACAAATCATTAGAGAGAGTCTTAATATCTCTAATTACTTTTATAATTTATCATACAGCATATAAATACATACTTGACAATATTGCTTATTTAATATCGCAAAAACTGTATATAAACACATACTTGACAAGATCTTTTAGAGACATCTGTGAATGACCTGCTGTTTTAATTCTTTGAACAAGTACACCAAGAGCTTCCTTCAGTAAGTCACGATTCTCTACCATCTGAAATCCATTCCTGAAAAAAAAGAGTAGCATTCAATAAATCTATAACAACAAATTTAACAGGGTTAGGGTGACCTCTAAATGTGTCCATAGGTAACAATGATGCCCCAACTTTCCAATGTTAAAATCCATAACAACAAATTTAATAGGGATAGAATGGACTCTAAATGTGTCTATAAGTAACATTGATGCACCAAATTTCAAATGTTAAATCTTTAACAACAAATCTAACATGGTAAGGGTGACCTCTAAATGTGCCCATAGGTAACACTGATGCCCCAACTTTCCAATGTTAAATCTATAACAACAAATTTAACATGGTGAGGGTTACCTCTAAATGTGTCCATAGGTAACATTTATGCCCCAACTTTCCACTGTTAAATCTGTAACAACAACTTTAACATCTAAATGGACTCTAAATGTGTCCATAGGTAACATTTATGCCCCAACTTTCCACTGTTAAATCTGTAACAACAACTTTAACATCTAAATGGACTCTAAATGTGTCCATAGGTAACATTTATGCCCCAACTTTCCACTGTTAAATCTGTAACAACAACTTTAACATCTAAATGGACTCTAAATGTGTCCATAGGTAACATTTAAGCCCCAACTTTCCACTGTTAAATCTGTAACAACAACTTTAACATCTAAATGGACTCTAAATGTGTCCATAGGTAACATTTATGCCCCAACTTTCCACTGTTAAATCTGTAACAACAACTTTAACATCTAAATGGACTCTAAATGTGTCCATAGGTAACATTTATGCCCCAACTTTCCACTGTTAAATCTGTAACAACAACTTTAACATCTAAATGGACTCTAAATGTGTCCATAGGTAACATTTATGCACTAACTTTCCACTGTTGTGTCAGTCTATTGATGGACAGCAGGACAGACAATGGCAAAGCTATGCTTTCCCACCCTACCCCAAGTAATGGGGACAAAATAAAAGAACTTTATACATACCATGAGAAAATAGAGAGTAAAGCTTGTAATAACTGTTGAAAACACATGGCAGACATCTGTGCCTGAGGACTGTGACTACCTGGACCATCCATCATTCCATCATTGTCTGCCAGTAATGTCTAAATAGCATAAATTTAACCTTTAAAACATGGCAAAATGACTAGCTTATGACATCAGTAAAGAGAGCAAAGTGTTGCTAGCAAATCCAGGCAATCTGACAAGACTCTTCAATGTTGATGCTTTATTTTGGATTTTTGTATCATATTTCAAAACCTCCCTAAGTAGCAATGGATAGTTCCTAACCCCTACAGTATAGACGTTAATTGTCTGCTAATTGCATTGCTTTTCCATTTTGCCTCTTTTACATTAAAACTAACATGAGGACATTTTTCTGTTATTACATTTTTTTTTCTTCTTTAATCCTTACCATGTTAGATATCTTAAACAAACGTTTCCATTTTATAATCTAGACGTTACCATTCATCAATTGTAGAGACAATTTTAAAATATGTACTGACTGAATGATGAACAGTGCAGACATGACCAGGTGACGCTGATGTATGGCCTGATCATGGTCTGCACTGGTTGCATGGCCACAAGCAGGCTACAGATAAAAATCTATTTTAGCACAAGTGTATTACCTGAAAGAAACCACTAGCTCCTTCAAGATGATTACAAAGGGCAGGTAACAACTTGACTACTTTTGTTGCAACTTCAAGGGGAGTTAACTGATCCAAGTTGGAGAATCCAACCTTCTTCTCAGCTTTGACCTGGATTAAAATCATAAATTATCTCTTTATCAACTTGCAAAAAAAGAAATGCAAGTGACTTGAAGTCAAAATCACAAAATAATCATGATTTTTTTAAAAGTATTTTCATATAATCTGTACAAGCCATTTGGTAGCATGGGAATAAGGCGTTGATAGTTTTTGCTTATTTATAACATTTTTTTTCTTATTCATAACATATTCGTTCATGGTTTTAATAGTATGCAAAATAGAAGCACAAAAAAATTGACAGACTGGAGCCCAGGCTAGCCATTTGGTAACTTATGTATAAAATCTTTGAACATAATTATCAGCAAATCAGGCTGCCCTTAGATAAGTATACAACCATGCCAGCCTCCAACTTCATGAAGTTTGACTGAATTTTTTTTAGCTGTTAACCACATATTTCAAGAAGATTTAACAAAAATCATAGTTAACTATCTCAATAAGCAGTAAATCAGTCAAAGATCAACTTAACCATTGCACAAATTCAGCAGGCTGATATAAGGCAATTTTAACATGACAATTAATTTTTACCTTGAAGAAAGTCTTCCTTTTTGAAGCTGATGCTAGGAGTGAATGTTCCAGTTTTCTGCAGAGATCTTCTACCAGAAAGTTGACCTGGGCCATCTCTAGGGACAACTCATTTACACCCTATGTACATATAATAGTTAACAAAATAGTTTTTGTAATATTTGAAAGTAATTAAACTTCATGATAGACATAACTTTGTAGACTAATTTTTCTTTATATCACCTGTGAAAAAGAGTTGCCAACGCAATCTATTCAAAGCGAGGTTATATAGAATTTTTCTAATCTGAAACTCAAATCTCAGGTATCTGATTGGTCAACAAGAGCTGTCAGTATGACAGAATGCTCGGCCATTCTTAGTGCTTAATAGCAAAACAAGAGCCTTGATAATGTTGAATTTTCTATGTTTAAAAATGAAATATAATTCTGCCAAAATCCATGTTAGAGTTATGTCTAACTCCATGTTTCAATTCTGTCAAAATCAATACATGTAAGAGTTATGGGCCATAGACAGTGACCTCCTGTAATAAGCCAAGCACTTCACAAGTCTAACAATACAGGGTACCTACCTTTGTATTCATATCTGAGTCAAGCATGGCTTGTTTAATAGATCCAGTATTTAATATGGTGAACACAGATATATCCAATTCCCTGAAAATAGAAATATGAGCCGCGTCACGACAAAACCAACGTAATGCGTTTGCGACCAGCATGGGTCCAGATCAGCTGGCACATCCGCACAGTCTGATCAGGATCCATGCTGTTCGTTATCTGTTTTGCTACTTGTAATATGGTTGGCAAGCGAACAGCATGGATCCTGATCAGACTGCGTGGATGCGCAGTCTAATCTGGATCATTGATGGTCGCAAACGCATTATGCTGGTTTTGTCATGACGCGGCTCATATAATGATACTGTTTATGGGCAGGACCATCAGATGGATTGGGTATGATAAACAAGAGCTGTCGGTAGGACAGCAACGCTCGACTATTCTTAGTGCTTGATAGTAAAAAAAATGCTTGATAGAGTTACCTCCTCCTGTTTACAGGTTGGGGTCATGATGGTGAACAAGTGTGCAAAGTTTCAAAGCCATATGTCAATGGACTTTGAAAATATTTGAACTATTACAAAAACTTTAACGTAAATTCTAAGTCGAAAAAGGGGCATAATTCTGTCAAAATGCTTGATAGAGTTACCTCCTCCTGTTTACAGATTGGGGTCATGATGGTGAACAAGTGTGCAAAGTTTCAAAGCCATATGTCAATGGACTTTGAAAATATTTGAACTATTACAAAAACTTTAACGTAAATTTTAAGTCGAAAAAGGGGCATAATTCTGTCAAAATGCTTGATAGTGTTACCTCCTCCTGTTTCCAGGTTGGGGTCATGATGGTGAACAAGTGTGCAAAGTTTCAAAGCCATATGTCAATGGACTTTGAAAATATTTGAACTATTACAAAAACTTTAACGTAAATTCTAAGTCGAAAAAGGGGCATAATTCTGTCAAAATGCTTGATAGAGTTACCTCCTCCTGTTTACAGGTTGGGGTCATGATGGTGAACAAGTGTGCAAAGTTTCAAAGCCATATGTCAATGGACTTTGAAAATATTTGAACTATTACAAAAACTTTAACGTAAATTCTAAGTCGGAAAAGGGGCATAATTCTGTCAAAATGCTTGATAGAGTTACCTCCTCCTGTTTCCAGATTGGGGTCATGATGGTGAACAAGTGTGTAAAGTTTCAAAGCCATATGTCAATGGACTTTGAAAATATTTAAACTATTACAAAAACTTTAACGTAAATTCTAAGTCGAAAAAGGGGCATAATTCTGTCAAAATGCTTGATAGAGTTACCTCCTCCTGTCTACAGGTTGGGGTCATGATGGTGAACAAGTGTGCAAAGTTTCAAAGCCATATGTCTATGGACTTTGAAAATATTTGAACTATTACAAAAACTTTAACATAAGTGGTTACGCCGACGCTCGGGTGACTGCAATACCTCTACTTATTCTTATCGAATAGTCGAGCTAAAAAATAAAATATTCATATTATTTACAAGTAAGTCATTTGCATATATATAAATGTGGTGTTGGTAGTTTACAATCCGGATCACGATAATAAGCCACAGTGAATTTACCAGAGCACAGTTTAGCCACCGCATCATTCTTTGGCAGGCTGTCAAGTTGTTTCCAGTACTAGTTGCCTACACTCACAAGGAACTGATAACTTCTGTACATGTCAGAGCAGAGGTACAGTGCGAATGACCATAGTAAGGATTTCATGATCAATCAGAATGTAAAAGACCTGTCGATTCACAGTTATGCTCTATATATTGAGCTAACTGGACGGCTGCATATAATAATGTCTCTATCATAATCAATTACAAGACTAGATACAGTCACTAACAGCAGGCTAAGAATAAGGGAAGCTTAAGATCCACTACAAAAAAATGTACCTATTTAAACCTACTAAATTATTAACACTTTCATTTGAAAAGAATCTTTTACCTGTATCATACAAGTACAATTGACTGAGTTCTCATTGTTTCAGAATATGTATATAAACTTTTTACCTAAAAATGGTTTCTAGGATGCTTTCAGAATAGGTATATGATTACCTGAAGAATGGTTTGTAAGATGTTAGACTGACGGATGGTTTGCTATCTTTTCCTCCTCCACCATCAGCTGCCTGTGTTGCTGCCTGTGTGTTGTTCTACAACAAAAATAACATTATATCTATAATAATGGCTTTTGTTTTGGCATCTAAACATCAAAGAAGTAAAAAAAACACAAATCTTTTATTAACTGTTTCTCTGAAGTTACTAGCATAGCTGTCATAATATATGAATCTTACGATGTCTGCCTATAAAGACTGGAATATCTAGCTTGTATTTTAAGTTAACTGTTAATGACAGTAACATGGCTCTGCCATTTTTCTACTAAACAGTTTTCCAAGAGCTATATATTCCCATCTGTTATGACAGCCAGTGTTTGATTCTTTTTCTTGCATATTATGTATCAAACATATTTCAGAGAGAGATTACGAAAACTAGTAATTCTTTTAACCAAAATGACTTAACTAATATCAATCTTTACTATTATGTTTAACTTACCATTGTTGTATTATTTAACTGTGAACTGTCTCTACTATTGTCATCACTATCTGAAGATGGCTTGTCAGCTTTCTTACCCACAGTTTTCCTACAATCATTTTGGGTAAAGATTACTCAATAAATATCATACATGTGTGAATAATGAAAATATTGCATAAGCATAATATTCTCATGTGTTTGTTTGTTTTAATTGGGTTTTACGTCTCACCGACACATTATAGGTCATATGGCAATGTTCCAGATTTACTGGTGGAGGAAGACCTCAGGTGCCCTTCAGTACATTATTTCAGGCACGAACGGGAACCTGAGTAGAACCACCGACGTTCCGTAAGCTAGCTGGATAGCTTCCTCACATGAAAGAATCCAAAGTCCCTGTCGGGATTCGAACCCACAGCTGTGAGGGGCAAGTGGTTTGAAGTCAACAACCTTTAGCAGTCGGCGACAGACGCACACTCATGTGTTGTATAGCTACAGTTGTGAAAAGTTATATTATGATATCCAGAGTTCATAAATATTCAATGTCAAAACTCAAGCATTTTTAAGCTTGTTATTCTATTTTTAAGCACAACTTTTTACCATAAACATCATTTCATTTTCATTTTATCCTATGATACAAGAGAAAGAACATCAAAACACTCAGCATTTGATTTATACTTTGGGGCTACGTCCCTTGTACAATTCAGATAGCCTTGTGTTTCAATGCTTTTTCTTTCATTCAATACACAGTGATAATATTCATTATTTAGCAAAACAAAATATAAGAAGGACGAATTTTGTTGAAAATGACTGCATTTTAAAATATTTATGCAATCTGACAAGAACTATGAATGTTTCATACTAAATTTAACCATTTAGATTATGAACTTTTTTTCAAAAAAGTCACAGAAACGTTTGTTTTAAAACCAAAACAGGACATGTACATAACAACAGGTCAGCCATGTAGATGTAAATTATTATAGCTGTACAAATAAACATTAACATAAGAAAAATGTTGGGTTACCTTCCCTTCTTGGCTTTTTTCTTGGTTTCACTTTTCCAGGTTGTTCCGGTACTGACAGCTGGTGTAACTGCTTCATCCAAGTCAAAATTAGCCAGTGGTGGCTTAAAGTTGGGAGTTTCTGTACCAGGATAGAAAATCCATTGTCTTAAGCATTTATAAACACATTAACTTATTTGCATAGAAAACACTAACTTTATGTTTGTATGATAAAATATTTCTTAAATAAATTTCACTTTGTACACATTTCACATTTACAATACATGGTCATGTTTTTCTGTAATAGGAGGGCCTTGATGGTCCTTAATTGCTCACCTGACTATATGGTTAACATGAACACAATTTCATTTGGTCTTTCCCATTTAGTTTTCATCAAAATCAGCCAAAAATCTTTCACTACAAATATTTAAATGACATTGCTAAATTGTTAAAACAGTTTAGGACTGCTTCTTTCATTACACTTCCTCAGGTGACATAAATTAACAAACGCTGCTTACAACCAAATCAAATTACCTTGACCCCGATATAGGAAAAAAACCAACAACCTGTAGATTACTTACCTGATACTCTCCCTATTTAGCAAAGCGGGCAGACACAAGCTGTCTCATAAGATTCCTGCTACAACAACCTACATATAGACTATAATATACTAGTATAAAGACAGGCAACAAATAAACTCATAGTTACCTGGTAAACAAGATAGAAGTATCTTCTGTAACTCGGTTATATTGTGGAGCCTCGTGATCACTTTTCCTTTAATCTCAGCATCGGACTGGTTCGAAAAACCATTCACCATCTATAAAGGAGTGTAACCTTTCAGATTTTTATACCTCTCTTGAATTATTTACTGTATAGTTTAAATTCATGTCAGACAGTAACATTTCATGATGTCAAATGGTAACATCATTTTACGCCACTGATGTTAGCAAACAGCCAGCAAGCATGTACCGGGTGCCAGGTTTTAGTTATTGAGTTCAGATGTCAAAGTAAATTCTCAATAAGTAGTAAGTTATTTCCAAGTATTGCAGAGATTAAAGTAGTTCAGAGAAAGACAGACAGACAAGCAACAAGCCTTCATAGTTTGAGGGGCCACAAAAGGAGCAAAATATTGAAATTATTTAAACTATATAAAAACATGTTATCAAAACAATGAAAAATGAATTCTCACCTCTATAAACCAGTTAATACAATAAAACAGTGAAGACACGATAATTTCCTTCTCTCTCGTAGACAAAGGCTCAAACTTCTCGTATACATCTTCCTTTGCCAAATATACTGGACAACCTACAATATTATCAGTATTTATTTGGTTTTCACATCGCAAATATCATATAATGAAATACTGAAATAAAACAAGAGCTGTCAGTAGGACAGTGCTCAACTATAGACAACTTGACCTGTACGATGAAGCAATTCACAGTAATTTTTTTTCCCTTCAATATATGACATAGATATGAGTCACAGAAATTGATCTATAATAAAAATATCGAAAGCATGACAGAAATTTCTTATGAATACCACCTGTAGTACAACTACAAATTTCACCAAAGTTTAAACAATGAGCCAATCTCAGCTAAGTCCATGTCAATTTTACAGACATCATGCTAAATTACTTTTACATTCTGGATTTGGTTTACCTAGTAAAGCATCTATATTCTCCAGGGTACCATGCTGCCGTTCTTCACAAACTCTCAATAGTCGTACAGAAGGTGACATACAGAGGGGGTCTGTTACTCCACTGAAACATAAAAATCATAAACATATATGAACATCTCCTTATCTTTTAATTAAATAGGAAGTTTTCATGATATTTACCCTGAAGTTGTTAAAAATTAGCTGTAGCCCTACTTTTTCACCCAATGAAAATTTCTAGTTTTGAAATTTTCTGACAGTCTATTTTGTTTCAAGTTAGTAAGACACTTTAAAGAAAAGAAAAAAACTTTAAACAGCTACAGTCACTCGTACTCTGCTCATTTAGAGCTGTTAAGTTTTAATATCCTTCAAATTTTCCCTCAAAGTGATGAATTGTTTTGTACAGATTGAAAGATAGACAAGTCCATTTCAATCAGACATATAGCAAGGTAACTGTTAAATGAAAATTCTGCAAGTTGGATTGACCCCAGGTTTTACAACTGTGGAAAGGTAGCAACTATTTATTCAAATATAACAAAAATAGAATAAATAAGTAATATAAACCTTTCAGTATATGCAGTTAGAGCAGTTTTACAGGCATATTTCTGTACAACCAGTGGTAGAAGGTTTATGGCAATACCTCCCTCACTTTCATCATCTAAACCATGTACACTTGCTACTGGTATATTACCACTCCTGAAATTATCATAGCACTTAATGTATTATAAACCAACAAAACATTAAAATGAGATAAATTGGCAATATTCAAATCATATGATATTATAAGTTTTCTTTACTTATTTTGTTCTAAAAACTGTATGTTGTAGGATGCCCTGTTTCAGTTACTGCCCAATTTCATACACCTTTTTATAAAATGCTGCCACTTCGAAAAGCAACTTTTTATAGTGTTTATCCCAGTTGGACTGTTAATGTTCAATTATTACCTTGATGCAACCTTGAAAAAAATGGTATTTATTAACCTTTTCCCTTATATAAGCGTGTTTCGACGGCTTTTTGCCCCCCTCTCCCCTTTTTTGAGGCCTCAAACAGTGAAAAAATGTCCTATTTAGACCCCAAACACTGTTTTTCGTTTGAGAAGTGTTGTTAAAAAAAGTGACCATTTTTTCGGCGCCGCCCCCATCCAAATAATACATCAGGGGGTTGCCAGAAGGGGGATGTACCCCCTTCTGTTTGGGGGGTTTGAAGGGGGGGGGAGTCCCCCTCATCGCCAAGAAAATTTTGGACTTGTGAGAGGCTTAAAATGACCCCAGGTTGATAATAAGGTAACGTGTAACCAACGCTGAAAAGCCTTGGACTCTATCTCAATCCCTTGAGAAGTTGCAGCTTTTCAGTGAAAATGGCTATTTTTCACAATATGCTCATGGGGGAAAGGGTTAAACACAATCTTAGTTTTTTATTCTTTTTTTTTCTTGTTGGGTTATAAGTCGCACAAAAACTGTAAAGGTCAAAAGGCGACATTCCAGGGGATGAAGACCTCTCTTTAACCATGGATATGAAATAACTTGTAACTTTTTTTTATAGTATGAAGAACTATGAGTTTTAACCTTCTGGCAGCAACAGTTTCTACCCCAGCCACCAATTCTGACCAGTACTGACCAAGATCAGACTGCACATCTGTACCATTTGATCATGGTCTGCACTGACCAATATTTAGACAGAAGTAATTTTGAAATTGTCCCTCAAAATGATTATTTGTTGAGACTTAAAGATGGAAAAAACCCATTTATTAATCAGTGGTAAGGGCTAGTACACTGTTGTCTCCAGACAGTCAAATATATATGCAGCTTTTTGACAGTATTTAAGAGCCAATATTAAATGTCCAAAAGACTGCATTTATAATTTACTACGTGTAACAGACAATCTTTATTGACTTCATAATACAAGATTTTTAAGTGATCTACTCCACTGTGGGGAATTAGCATTTATCATCAATGAATACGTACTCTTCAGGCACACCATCTGCAATATCAACAACAAAGTTTTCCTGGAAATCCACTGTCAAATTCTCACTGATCCAATTCTAAAATGAATGTCAATACATCAATTTCTAATTTCAATATTCATTACATTAGTTCGTTTATAACAATAATATATATCATTTAAAATGAATTCTCCTCATATTGACATAAACTATTTGATTTTTCCAAAATATTGCAATTGTTTCTTTTGCTTGGTTAAATGGCCTATACTTGGTCATATTCCAAATTGAAATTAGTATCTTCTTTCCCAAATTTCTTCAATTATATGTAGCAGTACAGATTTTTAAATAGACATACCTCAACTTTAGACTGAAGTTTTCCTTGAGCTATGATGGTAGACAGTTCATCCATAAAGAGAGCAAAGGCTTCTGGGGATTTACTGCTACTGGATCGTACCAGGGTCAGTAGGCTCGTCACCTGTTTATATAGGTCAGCACTCAGCTCTTCCTGTGTGCACGAGTTTTCTGTGCTCTCCTCAGTATTGCTGTACAATAACCGAAATAAATTTGTGAGTTAAAGCAGCATGCCTCCAGATTCATGCTAATTTTCATGAAAATGTATTTAAAAGTAAAATATTGTGAAGTAAACAAAGAAAGTAACTAACACATAGCAAACAGCACTAATAATTCACATAAGTTACCAAAAATACGTCAAGATATGCAAAAATAGCACTTACTGCCTTAGTAGCGGAGTAGAAAACTGCATTAGTAACTCAGTAGAAATATGGTGATAAATACAGCAAAATCTTTCATTAGTGCCACATAACATGTAAATTTCATTGGTTGAATTTTTAATCTTTTTACATTTCCAGAAATCTTAAAATATTTATCAGGGTATGTATTTTATGAAATATTTTGGCTTATCTAGAGGCATGCAGCTTTAATATTGCAATGAGCATTATATATCCGAACCCCATTTATAATGGAATGTGATTATTGGGTGTAATTTACTAATTTCTAGTGACATAGTCTCTGTTGTATTTTAAAACATGCCAAAAAGCTTAAGCTTTTAACATTATATGAAAATCAGTTATGTGTGAAGAAAATGGCAAATGGCAATTGAAACTTATTTTCATTATATCAACAAAATAAATACAAAGCAATATTACAAATTGCTTTCACCTTTAAATAACAAAAATATCAAGATTCTAGGAAAGGTGGGGGAGGGTAGGGGGAGAAAAAAAAGAAAACATACCTAGTTTGAGCAATACAACTCACTATCATCACTGCCCCTATAACCCCCATTCTCTTATACCTGAAAATATAAATCATATATGTATAACAACCCCTGTTCACATCACTTTTATAAACAATAGTAATATTCTTAAACTTACGAACATTTGTACATTTATATGGCTACTGTACTGTAGAATGGTACATTATTACATAACAATATCTAAAGGATATTTAAGTTTTTTCAGTAAAAAATAAATGAAATATTTATTTTCATTCCACTCTATGAAAATAAATCTGGTATTTAAAGAAAAAACTTGAATTTTTTGTTTATTTATATTATATACATTTTTTCTCTTTTTTGACATAGCAAATTGAAAGACTTCCCCTTAAATTTTATGTATTATACAAAGTAGTTTGGCAAGACACCATTGAAAATACGGAAAATATGTTTCACTGCAGTGAAAAAAAATGTTTTTTCTTTGAAAAATATGGAAAATAAAATAATACACATTTCATTTCATCAATATTTCTCAATATTTAATTTAAGCGTATAATAATTCTTAATATATGGTTTATTTGATGTTATAAATGAACAATAACATGCATATTGAGAAATCAAAATCAACCAAGTACCTGTTATAGGAGCAACGTTAAAGAAACTAACATCAAATAATAATCACAAAAAATTATTTTGTTAGAAAGATACTTACTTTGGATTATTGTTTGAAAGCTGTTTTCTTATTACAATATGTAAATCATCCTGAAATAACAGAATAACATGTACAGTGAAATAGTGAAAGAAAGAATAGAAGTCTTACAAGTTCTCTGGTATTTGCAACAACATTCATTAACCCTGTCTTTGCAGGCGTAGACTGATTTTGTCCATATGGCCAGTGCAGACCAAGATTTGCCAGCAAAAAAGTGCCTTCTTATTATAGTCTGCACTTTATACAATTTAAAAAATTTATTAGCCAACAGTATAGCTGTACATTTGTGATACAGCAAGTTTTTCTTGCTTTCTCCTTTGTTACAGTCCTATTGACACATTAAGATTGCCGTGTTTATAACATGATGAGGCTTTTCCCTCCTAGAAAAGTTAATGAAACTGCCCTACCCTAATAATGGGACAATCCAGTATCATAAGAATCACTTGTATAGGTATGATAATATGGGGGACGTCAGTGTGGTTAAGGTCCTTGACTTCAAACTACTTGCCCTTCACTGCTGTAGGTTCAATCCTGACTGGGACTTTGGATTCTTTCACGTGAGGAAGCTATCCAGCTAGCTTACGGAACGTTGGTGGTTCTACTCAGGTGCATGTTTGTGCCTTAAATAATGCACGGAAGGGCACCTGAAGTTCAACTCTTCCTCCACCAGTACAGCTGAAATGTCACCATATGACATATACTGTGTTGGTGTCACATAAACCCCCCCCCCCCCCAAAAAAAAAAAAACAACATGATAATATAGCTAATATAAGAGGTTAACACTAATAAGATTACAAGTATTTCTTGTTGCTATAGTTACCTGTATTAGACCCCCTTCTTGGGGATTTTTAAAGGCCAGGGCACTCAGCATAAAGTACAGTTTTCTAATTTGACAGACTGACAGATTATCTAGATAGTCCAGTACACTCTGAAAATATAATTTAAAGTAACATCATACACAGCCAAGGGTATGTCGTGAATGAGCAGGTGAAAGTCAAAATAAGTTTACATTTTGCCATAAAAAATATACCTGTAACATTCAATTTATAAAAAGTAAATCAATTTTTTGGGGTTAAAAAAATACTTTAATTATGAATAATGGTGTTTCTTTATAGTGGCCAAGGAAAGGATTTGGACATTCAGTGATATAAAATTTTGTACTGATATATCGAAAATTTTCAATGACAGCCCTAAAAACGATGCTCTGTTTCCTCAAGTAAATCATTTATATAATGATTTTTTCTCATACTTTTTACTTAATGACAACAAACAATATAAAATACAAACCTTAACAAGAATAGCAAAAGGTGCCATCTTTGGCAGATGATGATTCACTAGGTAAGCTAGAATATCTAGCGAGGCATCTATTTCACTTTCAAACCCACTTCCAATGTGTGCTACAAGATTACCAACTATCTCCTGCAAATGTAACAACATTCTGAGATCATATATATATATATTCCAAAGTAATGTAATGATTAAATCATAAATGTCATTATCAGAAATATTTTAGATCGCTTGAAAAAATTCAAAATGTCAGAAAACCTGAATAATCTGAATTATTATTATCTACATTATTTCAATGGTTTATATAGAATAAGAGTGATTTCGGAGCATTAAAAAACCCTGAAATTCAGGCAAATGCCTAAAAACTATACACCAAATGCAATATTGTACCAATACAATGTGATATATATGGACTGGTACCAAGCTGCTGGAGAAATGATAAAGGACAAGCCTTTAAGCTTTTGTTCACAGGTATATTGTGTCTTGGTATTAACAATGTCACATAAACAGTAAATATGTTACCGGTATGTCAAAAATATAAAGTTGTCCACAAAAAGACAAAAATACTGAACAAAAACAGTATGTCCCTTCCACAAATCTATTAATTTTGGGTGCCCGGGCCATAATATAAATATTTTAATACACATTTACTTAATGATATCTTATAAACTATTCACTGTATTAACCCATTACCTGCTGAATTTTTGTAATGGATATCTGAATTTGAAACAGTCAATCCAAACTTAAGGATTTCAACATCAAAATACAAAATTTGAGCTAGCAAAAGGATAAAGCCTGTTCAGATTGCATGAAAGTGCAAGCTGGCCTGACTCTGTACTGGTTGCAAAGACTAAACATTTTTGGTTGCACCGGGTAAGGGTTAAGATACAATTTGGCTAAATGGTAAAGATGTCTGTCGGGAATCGGTTCATGTCATGCTCTTACATTATGGTCTCTTGGGACGATACATTGTTGTACATATTTTGTATATATTCATATATAAGAGTCAATTGGTGAAGGTCAAACCTGGAAAAAGGGTTGAAAATGTTTAAAATATCAATTAATTAAACTTAAACAGTTACCTGTTGATGGTAGGCATCCAATGTGATGAATGTTTGTTTATACAGAGCTGATCCAAAATACGAGACTGGTAATTCTGGTGATCTTAGTAAAACCTCTGACAGACTCAGTAATGACTGGAAATACCCCTTTAGTACCTGAAATACGGAGATTATCTGAGCTGTAATGTTATTAACATTTACTCAGCTGACTTTGTTTAATAAACCCGCCCTGCCCTGCTTACATAATGGAACTAAAATAAATTTGTATACAGTAAAGTTGACCAAGCCCCATATAGGTGGCATGGGTTTATCATTAGCTATAAAAATAGGTATTGCACATTACTGTAAAATCCGATAATTTTGCAATTAATTAAATTTTTATGATTTAGCGATTGAAGAATTTCCTATAATTTTTTTTTAAACAAATTTTAAAGAACTGAATGTAATAAATTGTGAGTATTTAACCTTGATAATTAGTTTGAAATGTTGATTTTGTAAAAATGTAAAAATTTGGCCTCGTAAAAACATCTTATTTTACACTAGATGCCTGAACAACATGAACATTAGTGCAAAAGCTATATGAAAAATTCACTCATGAATGATACAGAATTGACTTGTTAAGTGAATTAATGTGGACATTAAGGTCAACAACCTGTTTGAAATTAAAGAGAAAACACTATAAAAATACTAAAATTGATTAGACAAAATTATAAAATCTCTTTAGACTTCATAGATAATTATGCTGTCCTGTCTGGCTCTACACGTGGGTCTATCACTGACATCACATGACCTCAAAAAAGAGTAAACAACATACCTGTGAATGGACATTGTAGATAGATTTGATATATGCCTCCGTAAAACATCCTGCTCTAATCTTATTTCTGAACAAACTCTCCACAACTTTTTTCCTCGGTGTACCATGAAGAATGAGTAACATAAACAAGTCTATAACTTTGTGATCACTGGGCTGTTTTACTGACTCTATTGCCTACAAAAACAAATTATTTTAACTAATTAAACACAACAATAGTCAATATGCTCATATATTTTTCTAAAATGGCAAAATTTATATAAAGAGAAAAGATAGAAGACTGCTTGTCTTTATGTAGAAGCACTTGGGTGGTGCATTTTACGTCACAACATCTCTGGTAGACTTTTGAGTGGCAGGCTTTACCTCACATCTCTAGTAGACATTTGAGATGCGGTGTTTACGTCACAAAATCTCTGGTAGCATTTGAGTGTTAAGTTTTATGTCACGACAACTCTAGTAATGATGTTATAACAGCTATCCAGTTGTACTCACAAAGAAAGTATCAAGATGCATTTTAAGAAAAGAGAAACACATGACGAGAATTATCACCAACTTGTCATATTCTGGCTGAATAGTTTAATCAGATGAAAACAAAACATGGCTAGCAATATGTCAACCCATCCAGATTGGCGTGTGGCAAGTAATTAACTAAAGCAAGTAATTCAAAATCAATGATTATGACCATACAGTCAATCACTAGAAATAGCTAGCCACACATTAAATGTTTTTATAGTATTTATTGTTTACTTTATCTGAATATAAAAATAATTGTCTTCATAATAAGTTTACACACACAAATATCATCATAAAGTTACATTTTGAAGAAGGTCAAAATTCCTGCTTTATGACCTAAGCCAAAGTACAAAAGTACTTAGTCAAGGTCAAAAATTTTATTGGATGAACCAAAACAAAATATCTTTATAATATAATGCAAACAGACTCAAACATACTTTGATAAGAGCATCACCGACATGTCTCTGAAATCGTACAGCAGATTTTACCGTCTCTAGAATAATTGTCTCCACATCCTCACTGCAGCTAGCGTCTCCACTTGACCTATATACAATAAATTCAAAATATTTGTAAAATATGTGATGATGTTGGAATATATAAATGCATAAGACATAGTTCCATATCATACAAATACTGTAGACAATCTTAACTTTAAAGACAAGACTTGTTAAAGCTTGGAATGTTTTAAGAGGTGTTTAGTCTTATATCAGGAATAAAGCTTTAAAATTTTATTGTTATAGTTGTCAAAGAAACCTTCAATTGTGAAACTTGCTTTCCTGATTATGAAAGAGGTCTTTGTAATGTAAGGCTCCTGTGTTACAGTGGAAAAAAAAACCAAACAATGATTTACAATAAATGATTGATCCAAAAATTCACATCAAACTGAATTTAAAAAGATAAAATCGGGTTCAGAAGCTGCAATAAAAGGCTTACATGTATAAAGTAAAACAGAATGATTATCACTTTTTACATTGTTTTTCAGTGAGGTGTGGGCAGTGCTTTCTTAAGTCCCAGCTTACAGATAAAATCACTTGCTACTGCAGAATTTACTGCAGGCTACTTTTGTGAAACTATAATACATAAAAACATATTGAAGCCACTCATATGTTCTCTAAAGCTGACTTCTCTTAAATTTTCAAAGGCGTCTTTAGCATTTGAGAGAGAACACTTCCTTTGGACAAACAATTAAAATCCATGATTGCTCATTAAGTCTTACTTTTCATCAATCAAGATAACATTTGTAGTGATGCAAATTTGATAAGCTTAGGAACACCTAACTGGTCCCCGATCATAAACAGAGGGTTTCATATACCAAATGTTCGGTTGAGTCCCTAGATTACGAAATTGGATTTCAATTTCCCCGAAAGTGCTATTAATATAGATTCATGCAGCTTATAAAGGTGGTCCATAAAAATTAAACTTGTAACATCATAAGAGACACACACAAAAAATCTTTCAAGTAAACCAAAATGAGCTTACCCTTTTCTCTTTTTACCACTTCCTTTTTTAGCAGTAGACGTGTCAAATTCTAAATTTGCTCTCAACTCTGTAACAACCTTTGAGCATAAAAAATATTATGAGCAAAACTTATGGGACAAGAATTCCATTCAGAAGTGCTAAAAATATGAGGTAGAAATTGTACATATAAATATCAATTATAAACTCTACGCCAGCAACAATGTAATCAGTGCAGATTAAGATCAGCTGGCATAGATTATCGTCTGCACTGTTCACTACATTGTTTTCAGTCAGTATATTTATTTTAAAACAAGAGCCCGGTTTGAGCCGGGTGATGCTCCCCGAATAGGTTTTGGACACAGGAAAGTACACCTCTTGTAGTTTCAGAGTTATGTCCGTGGAAAAAGTTCAAAGTGCAATAATTCCAAAATTAGGCAAGGCTGTTACAGTTTTTTGCACTGCACTTCTAATCAATGTGATCTATCAACTTACAAAGTTTCTTGATGATATCTCTTATGATTTCCGAGTTATGTCCTGGACAATTCAAAAAGTAAAAATAAACAAAGGGCAATAACTCCAGAATTAGGTAAGGTAGAGTTATGGTTCTTGTGCACTGCACATCTACCCATTGAGATTTATCTACCTACAAAGTTTCATGTTGATATCTCTTATAGTTTTACAGCTATGTCCTGGACAAGATTTTTCTAAAAGGGGAGATTATTCAAAAATAAGGCTTAACAGAGTCATGGTTCTTTTGCACTGCACATCTATCCATTGAGATCTATTCACCTACAAAGTTTCATGTTGATATCTCTTATAGTTTTAGAGTTATGCCCTGGACAAGATTTTTCTACAAGGGGAGATAATTCAAAATCTGGGCAAAATAGAGTTATGGTTCTTTGACACTGCACTCCCCCTCGATGCCCTCTACCACTGTATGAAGTTTCAACAAATTATCTCCAAGAGTTTTCTAGTTATGTTCCGGACAAAGTTCAAAGTATTAAAATAAACAAAGGGCAATAACTCCAAATTAGGATAAAAAGAGTTATTGTTCTTATGCACTGCACATCTACGCATTGAGATCTATTCACCTACAAAAATTCATGTTGATATCTCTTATAGTTTTAGAGTTATGCCCCGGACAAGATTTTTCTATAAGGGGAGATAATTCAAAAACTGGGCAAAGTAGAGTTATGGTTCTTTGACACTGCGCTCCCCCTCGATGCCCTCTACCACTGTATGAAGTTTCAACAAATTATCTCCAAGGGTTTTCAAGTTATGTTCTGGACAAAGTTCAAAGTATTAAAATTAACAAAGGGCAATAACTCCAAAATTAGGACAAAAAGAGTTATTGTTCTTATGCACTGCACATCTACCCATTGAGATCTATTCACCTACAAAGTTTCATGTTGATATCTCTTATAGTTTTAGAGTTATGCCCCGGACAAGATTTTTCTATAAGGGGAGATAATTCAAAAACCGGGCAAAATAGAGTTATGGTTCTTTGACACTGCACTCCCCCTCGATGCCCTCTACCACTGTATGAAGTTTCAACAAATTATCTCCAAGGGTTTTCAAGTTATGCTCCGGACAAGACAACGGACGGACAGACGGACAGACGGACGGACGGACAGACGGACAAGGCGCAGACTATATGCTCCCCCGAAATTTTTCGGGGAGCATAAAAAAACCCTAAAGATGATCAATGGTTTTGTCCATATTGAAAATTGGACAAGTCTATTTAAGATATTTAGTATGGTTAGGTTTAATATTCAGATAAATGTCAACATCAATGATTCAATGTTGTCTGTAGCTTCTACTCTTCTATCATAAGTCAATCACAGATCAGTCCTGAAATTGCTGTAACCATTTGAATGTGATAATGATTAATTAAACAGCATTTGAGCCACGTCATGACAAAACCAACATAGTGCCTTTGCGACCAGCATGGATCCAGACCAGCCTGCGCAGTCTGATCAGGATCCACGCTGTACGCTATCAGTTTCTCTACTTGTTATAGTGTTTGTAAGCAAACAGCATGGATCCTGAACAGACTGCACAGATGCACAGGCTGGTCTGGATCTATGCAGGGTCGCAAATGCACCATGTTGGTTTTGTTGTGATGCGGCTCATTTGTTCTGAATAGTATAAATGGACCACTAACTGCTCAATATTATTTTTATGATGTTGAAACTTTTGGAATAAACAAGCAATTATCATAGTATTGCAAGCAATCCATAAGTCCCCTACCGGTTAGAACCCCATCAACATTCTGAAGGGCCATTGGCCATTCACTAATGTTTCAATTTTTCTCTATTTTAAGTAAATTTGTTGGAAAAGATCTTTAAAAGCGATCACAGGAAACAGTTTTTATGAACAGACAGACAGACGGATTGTAGGACACTCTAAAGTTAATATTTGAAACATCCCTGTTACCAAAATATAACATTTTAAAAGCAAAATTCTTAAAGAGGAGATAACTCTTGAATTAAAGATGCAATTTCATAAAAATTTTCAGCTCTTTTTGACTAATCACAAATATTGTTATATTTTCCATGTTTTAAGCCTATTTGTTGCCAAGGCAACTGATATTTTATCAAAATAGGAAGAACAGATAAGACATGCATAATCTCAAGACTGCTATCTACCCATATGTAAAGTTTCACAAAAATGTTTCCACTACTTTTTGAGTTATCACTTGATTCAGTTTATGTGTAAAATTTGCCAAATTTTCAGTCTATGGTTGCCATAGCAACCAGAATTTTCAACATAGGAAGAAAAGACAAGAAACATGGCAATGCCATGAAACCAGGTTTTCAATTATCACCATTGTAGATAAATATGTTGTATTTGAAATACAAATACAAGCAACAAACAATGTAACTATGTGCAATGTAAAACATGAATAATGTAGGAGGAATTGCCACTGAAGAAGTGCTCACTATAATATTATGTATAAGGAAAAAAACAAAGGGCCATAATTAGGTCAAAAACTATCCAATCACAAAACCCAAACAATATGTGCCAGGGTGCTTGATGACAAAGCTTCTGTGAAAGTTTGAACAAAATCTGTTGAGAAATGTAGGACGAGTTCAGCACAGAAGAATTTGTTCACTATAATTATATTGATAATTCTGTATAATGAAAAACAAGTTACAAAGTAGACATGAAATAATATATCATATCTTTTTTTAAATTACCTCCAAAGATGATATGACCTTTGACTGCCAAATCAAGTTAAAATCATGTAAACAGGATTTTCAATGTTAATGTCACTGTGACCTTGACCTTGGAGCCAGCCATGCGGAACATGCGTTCTGCACGTCATCTTGATGTGGTAAACATTTGTCTGAAGTTTCATCAAAATTCTTCAAAGGGTTGAAGAGTTACAGAGCGGACAGGATTTTCAATGTTAATGTCACTGTGACCTTGACCTTGGAGCCAGCCATGCGGAACATGCGTTCTGCACGTCATCTTGATGTGGTAAACATTTGTCTGAAGTTTCATCAAAATTCTTCAAAGGGTTGAAGAGTTACAGAGCGGACAGGATTTTCAATGTTAATGTCACTGTGACCTTGACCTTGGAGCCAGCCATGCGGAACATGCGTTCTGCACGTCATCTTGATGTGGTAAACATTTGTCTGAAGTTTCATCAAAATTCTTCAAAGGGTTGAAGAGTTACAGAGCGGACACAATTTCGTTTGACGCCCGCCCGCCCGCCCATCCGCCCATCCGCCCGCCATACCCCAATCTAATAACCAGGATTTTCAAAATTGAAAACCTAGTTAAACAGACGTGCATAATCTCAAGACAGCCATCTACCCATATGTCAAGTTTCACAAAAATATTTCCAGTACTTTTTGAGTTATCACTGGATTCAGTTAATGTGTAAAATTTGCCAAATTTTCAGTCTATAGTTGCCATAGCAACCAGAATTTTCAACAAAGGAAGAAAAGAAAAAGACGTGCATAATCTCAAGACTGCCATCTACCCATATGTCAAGTTTCATAAAAATATTTCCAGTACTTTTTGCGTTATCACTGGGTCCAGTTTATGTGTAAAATTTGCCATATTTTCAGCATATTTGTTGCCATAGCAACCAGAATTTTCAACATAGGAAGAAAAGAAAAAGACATGCATTATCCAAAGACTGCCATCTACCCATATGTCAAGTTTTATAAAAAATATTTCCAGTACTTTTTACGTTATCACTGGATCGAGTTTATGTGTAAAATTTGCCATATTTTCAGCCTATTTGTTGCCATAGCAACCAGAATTTTCAACATAGGAAGAAAAAAAAGACGTGCATAATCTCCATACTGCCATCTATCCATATACCAAGTTTCATAAAAATATTTTCAGTACTTTTCAAGTTATCGCGGGATCCAGTTTTGTGGACGGACGGACTGACAGACGGATGGACAGACGGACGGACGGACAGACGGACGGAGGGTAAACCTAAAGTCCCCTCCGGTAAACCGGTAGGGGACTAATAACCATCCTCAGGGTGTTTTTTTGCAGGATTTTGGGAACATGACCTATACCCATGGAATTGGGAATTTCAGCGATGTTTTGTTTAAAATTTGGAAAAATGCATGACTGAAATTTTGCAGTGATTAAATGAATGCAAAGAATCACTGTCTAGGATGGCATCATCAAACATTGAAGCACTATAACAGTGAAGGAGCCCTTATTATTTAAGGTTTTAGAATTAGTTACTCAATATTTTCATTTTGTAACTTTTAATTGGAATTTTTTCCTGTGGATAGGGAAAATAATATACTATTTTTAATTAAGAATATGACCAAATATCAGCTAGAAAACAAGCCCAAAATTTAAATCCCTGATCTTTTATAAGGATTGAAGCTTAAAACTTAAAACTTCGGGACATTTTTCATGGAATATCTTAATCAAATAAAGCTCTAAACAATTTTTTAGCTGCCATTAAATCAACCTTCTTAAAATAAATTTACGAAATACCCTGTCTCATGAACTCTGAATGAAAATAAGAATTTGTACCTGTAGAGCATCAGCACTAGTTACTGACTGCAACAAAAACTTGACCAGTACTGGTAGGTCCTCCAATTCTACTGATATCAGTGACTGGAGCACTGAGTCACGAATCTACAAGACATAGGGTATAATTATAAATAACAGTGACTGGAGCACCGAGTCACGAATCTACAAGACATAGGGTATAATTATAAACAAGAGCCATGTCAACATGGCCATCCCCCGCCGAATGTGTTTGCTCATTGGAAGAATGTATATGTAGTAGAGCGGAATAATTCCATTTTAAGAGGTCTTTTGGTAATGAAAACCGATGGCTATAGTGATTACAGATTTGAAACCTATGTGAATACTGATGGCTGTAAATAACAAAGGGCAATAACTGAAAAATAATGCAGGGTAGGTTATCATTCTTGTGTGCTGCATCCCTCCTCAGTAAAATCTATCCACCTATGAAGTTTCAAGTTGATACCTCAAATACTTTTTGAGAAAAAAATTGAATTGAAAAATTAAGTATGAAAAAGAACAAAGGGCAATAACTCAAAAATTATAAAAGATAGAGTTATCATTCTTGTGCAGTGCACACCTCCTGAGTGAGATCTATGCACCTATGAAGTTTCATTTTGATATTTCAAAGGCTTTTTGAGTTATGCTCTGGACAAAAATTAATTTTGAAAAATAACAAAGGGCAATAACTCAAAAATAATGCAGGGTAGAGTTATCATTTTTAAGCACTGCACTCCTCCTCAATGAGATCCATCCACCTTTGAAGTTTCAAGTTGATACCTCAAATACTTTTTGAGATAAGCTCTGGACAAAATAGCATGAAAAAAACAAAGGGCAATAACTCAAAAATTGTATAGAGAAGAGTTATCATTCTTGCGCACAACATTCCTCCTCAATAAGATCTATCCACCTATGACATTTCATGTTGATATCTCAAACACTTTTTGAGTTATGCTCCACTCAGGTGAAAAATTAGGTATGAAAAATAACAAAGGGCAATAACTCAAAAATTATGAAAGGTAGAGTTATCATTCTTGTGCACTGCACACCTCCTGAGTGAGATCTATGCACCTATGAAGTTTCATGTTAATATCTCATAGGCTTTTGGAGTTATGCCCTGGACAAAAATCAATTTTAAAAAACAACAAAGGGCAATAACTCAAAAATCATGCAAGGTAGAGTTATCATTCTTGTGCATTGCACTCCTCCTTAATGAGGTCTATCCACCTATGAAGTTTCAAGTTGATAACTCAAATACTTTTAGAGATATGCTCCGGACAAAAATGTCGGACGGAAGGACGGACGGACGGACGGAAGGAAGGACGGACGGACGGAGACTATTTCTATATCCTCCGCCAAAATTTTTCGGCGGGGGATAATAACAGTGACTGGAGCACAGAGTCACGAATCTACAAGACATAGGGTATCATTAAAAATTAATTGAATAGAAACTACATTATTTTACTAATATATTTAAACCATGAAAAGCTTGTAAAAACAATGAATTTTTTTCATGCTTCCATAGCCAGGCCAATCTGCAGTCTGACCGTACTAAAGTGACAGTTACAAACTCCTAGCAGGACGAGTCTATAATTCAAACTTAGACCATGGCTTAATGTTGTGTGTGATAAAAACATAACATTTTCTGATTGATAATGTTTTGTACCATTGAATACCTGTTAATTTCACCATGCAAATACATGTATATGTACAATGTTGGTAGAAGCATTTAAGATTCGCTACATACCTCTGACAGTAGAACAGGTGTCAGTATAAGGTTAGACATGGCATCTAGAACTGTAACAGTCAACTGTTGATTCTCATTCATCAGATCTCTGGAAAACATAGGAACAGTTGCTATCACTTAAATAAATGATGTATTTCAATGAAAAAATGTGTTTTCATTGTAATAAGTCTATCATTAACTTTCAATAAATTTATCATGAACTTATGAAAATTTGATACGTTTTTACCAAATTCTGTGTGCAATAACATAAAGTTACGATATATAGGATCTCACATAAAACAAAGTCTAGGAAAAGTGTTATAAATGTGCCTGTGGATGAGTTTAAGTAAAGTTTTTCTAAAATGCCAACAAATGTATGAAATACATATCACATGAGTTTATAACTTTTAAGACAGAAAAACCTGAAAAATGGTACCAAAAAAACCACTTTGTAGGGCCAGTCTTATTTTACACTTAATAATATTATACAAATATGATTACAGAACCGGCTGATCTTGGTCTGCACAGGTTGCAGGGGTAGATTCTGTTGTCACCAACAGGCTAAATGTTAAGATCACATTGTGCATTTACCTCAATGCCATAGCAACCTGGGTATGTTCCGAGTCTTGTACAATATCTGGCAGACACGAGATTATCTCCCTTTGAACATCTTCACAGGTTATTGACACCATCTCCAGTAACTTTTCCGTCACTTCCTGGATAAAAGATACAAAAACACTTGTTTAAATGATGTTTGTGGAAATTTTATAAAACTGAAAAAAAAAGTATTAAATTCATTTTCTCAAAATGACTTATATTCATTTTGCAGTTCTTAAAGGTAGTTGATTTAGTAGTTCTAAGGCCAAGAAATATCTGACAACCAGTATTCTAATTGACCTTGACCTTTATTTCTGGTACGAAGGCAACTATCAATATCTCTTCAAAAATTAAATGTTCAATATATGTATCTATCCATTTCTATAATATCCCTTGTATTAGTTACACTTGTTCACTTTTAATGAACAAAGAAAATATTTGAAAAATCCTGTTGGATATGCACTGACCCACATTGGTTAAGTTGAGTAAACAAATATATTTGATCACCTATATGGGGTCTGTAAAACACTAATTCACTACAAGAATCTACTGTGATACGAGATGTACTAACCTTGCTGTTAACAATGTGATCAAGCCATTGAAACTGAGAGAGAAGCAGAAGAGGAATGTTCACTTTCTGACCTTGCTCCAATATCACACAACTGTAACATACATGTACGTAAATATAAATATGTCTTGTATACTATAGTTCAAACCAAAACTTATATTTGTAGTAATACTAAAAGTACTGATAAAAGTATTTGAAAGGTACAAATATAGATATAGAAGCAAGTATACTGGTTTTACTATCTACCAGGAATGTAAGCCTTATTTTGTCCACCATCATATAATACAGAAAAAATTGAGGATAAAATAGTTATTTACTGAGAAGCTACCATTTTTTGATAAGCAACCATTTTTTGATAAAAATAACAATTATACAAAAGAAATTCTAAATATACATCAAAAAGATAGTTCTGTATATATAACCTCATGAGTGGCAGCCATCTTTGTTTTTAAGTACTTAATAACAGAAATGACTTAAAAAATCAATAAAAAGTTAAAAACATATGTAAATTATTCAATATTTATCAATTATCACACAGAAAAAGGGTAAAAATTTGTTAAGTATTTGCAGACACATTCAAAATGTCATGTTGGGTCCAAATTGTTAGCAATACTACTGGTTTTGTGTGAAAAACATTTAAGTGAATAGGGTTAGTAAAACTTTGAATTTTCTTTAAAAAATGCCATATTTTGTATGAAATTAATGTGAAAAATACTTGCATACAAAATAAATTATGTAAGTATTATTTGTAATATTGTACAGAGTAATAACTTCCTGGTATAAAGTACATTAAGGATAGATAAGTTTGGAATATTTCTTTTTTCAACATAATCAAAAGTATAATTATAAATTATATACTCCTCTTCTCCGGTGAACTCGGGTAGTTTTTCCAGTAACACTGTCATCAAAGGTGGCTAAAAAAGAAATGGTTAATACTTGAGTTGGGTTGTGTATGTCACACAAACATCAATTGGCAACTTAACCAACACCCTGCTGGAAGCAAAAGCAAATAGCCATGTGACCTGTATTGTCAGGTCAGTCTTTGAAAAATATTGAATATATTCCATACTGCAGCATGTTATGTTCATTAATCAAATTTCTAAATAATAAATTAATTAACATGTTCTATATGATAAAGAAGTTATCAAGACTTCAAATTTGATTGCTATTCCAATTGCAATGCATCATTTTCCCTTAAATATTTTAAAACAAAGGGGGAAAAATATTGGTACCTTAAACAATTCCTAGCTAAGAAATAACTTCCCTTGATTAAAATAAACAACATTTTGTAACTATTTTATGTCTGAAATATAATATGTTTTCCCTTTAATAACCCTTTAATAACTGCATAAAAATATTCAAAATTGAAAAATATCTTTTGTACAAACCTGTATAGTATCAACCCCCATCAAAATTTTTACAACACTTTCTTGGAATCCACTTCGGGCACTGAAACACATTCAACAATAGTACAGAGTTAACAGTACCACAATGCACACATTTCAATACTTTGTTCTTATGATAACCTTTTCCTTTGGTGAAATTCAATGTCAGTTAACATTCATTCATAAATGTTTAAATAATCATGTTTAAATATATCTTGAGGATTCTTGTTCTAGCAGAGCTGTCCTTAGGACTATTCTCAGTGCTTGAAAGAAAAGGGGCATTACTCTGTAAAAAGGTAATGGCACATTTGTCCATCATGTTGGATAATCATAGTGAAGTTTCAACCCATTACCTTCAGTAGTTTTGGAGATACCAACTTGCATGCAAAAACTTGACCTAAGTGTGATGCTGATACCAAAGTTCGCTATTAATAGCTCATATTCCTTGAATAATCAAGCTTGAAACTGGTTAATATAACTACGAGTCAAATTAAATCTCTCCATCTTAATTTCAAAAGTTTCCTAAAACATGAAAAAATATTTTGTATAAATATTTTGTATAATGTTTTCTACTGATAATTTAAAAAAAAAAAAAAAGTCTTCAAATATATGGTTGCATAGAATGAAGAAGACTGAATGTACAAATGCTTACCTTTCACAGTCTGGTGATGTTTTAGTTGGCAGAAGACTTCTATGAAATCTGAAACATATATTGTTGGGGTTTTTTCCTTTAACTCTTTTGAATGTTAATAATAAGACTTTTGCCATCAGTATAGTAGCCTCATAATAAAGTACCATCAAAATAACAAATCTTTGGGATTCCCCCAGCTAATCAAACTTTTTACAGCTACAATTTGGTAAATATATACAATGTATAGAAAATAAGGTTAATGCACATTCCATTTTTCTGCTTTTACATGTACCTCATATAATTATAAATCTTCTGTTTATCAGATATATGCAATATTAAATATTTGTCTAAAACAAACCAATAACTTTTAGTCTTTTACTGCTATCGTCATCTCATGTTATATGTATGTTTTAATAAGACTTTGGGTACCTAGACTTAAACATTAAGATATCTAGCAAATGTTCAAAATATATTTCAAATATTTTTTTCCTTCATTTTGTGGGGAGAATAATTCTAAGTTCACATTGTGGAACAAATTTAAGCTTTAAGATCTTCAAACTCACCTTTTAGGTTCTTCAATGTACTCCTGGAAGCCTTCAATAAACTCTTCAACACCCTGCAATGTGACAAACTTATCTGCTGTACAATCTATTGACTGCCGAATTACATATTTATCAGTTTAACTGAAGGCGACATCAGCGGCTCTTTCATGAATTATTCTGATTTTAAGTTAATGGACAGACCAGGGCCTTTTTCCCTTCTATAGCAGGGGCCGTTTAAGACTGGCTTCCCAAATGAAAAAAAAATCTTTAAAATTGTGCAGTTTTCACCCAAAATTAAATTTACATCAAGTTTTTGCTCCCCCTTTGATGACAAATTCATGTAAAATATTTGGCAGGGTAAGGGTTAATATGTATAATATATGGTAAATCTATAATAAAATCTCTGGTTTCTTTGGTAACAATGCTTAGCCTACGGAAATTATCTCAATTTTTACATATCATAAATAAAATGTTATGTACATGGGCAGATTGGTGTAAAAGTAGTCTATGAATATAGGTGGCTTTAGGACTTATTTTGCTACCAAGGACTTAGAACATTGGTGAGATAGAAAAATTATTATCCATCAAATGTTAACTTATCAACCAACTATTTAATTACAGAAGATTCATAACAAAGGAGTTCTTTTCTTACATTTCCACTTTTACCCCGCAACTCTTTTAACAGATTTTTCTGGAATACAGCCTGATCCATTCCTGCAAAACAGATGCAAAAATAATCAGTATTTTCCTACAGCCAAACTAAATTTACTAACCCAGGCATTATTTACACAATAACGCGTTCATATCCAGCACACTGCAATACCTAACATATTTTTGCCATATTCAGATGTAATTCAGCCTGTTTTTGGGTGCAATATTACATATCTATAATCTAGCATATTTATAATCCCTAACATATACTTTGTGCCAGTTTCAGAAGAACAATACCTTGCATATCATACTTTATGCTAGTTTTCAGAAGAAATCTAACATATTTTTTATACCTAACATATCATTATCTAAGCTAGTTTTCAAAATTAATCTACCATATGTAACAATACCTACCATATTACACTTTGTTGAAGCTTTCAATTCAGATGTTATCTTGCATGTTTACAAAAACCTAGCATATCATACTTTATGCTACATGTAGTTTTCAGGTAAAATCTAGCATGTTTACTATACCTTGTTTATTTCTGTTCTGCAATGTTTAAGAACATATTTAGAATGTGTTCAATACCTAGCATATTATACATGGTGCCATTTTTCAGATGTAATCCAGCATGTTTGCAGGCCTCTGAGAAAAAGGAACTGCTAGTATATGAATCTTCATTAGAAGATGATCCCTTCTTCTTCTTAGTTGGTTGACCTGTAAACAAATATAAACATAAGCTTTGTGTATCCTACCTTATTTCTTGATTTATACAAATTACAATATATGTTAATTCATTAGAATGTTGATCAACTCCTTGGACCAGTTACAGGTCAAGTAGAACTTTACAACACATTTAAATTGGCATAGTAATTAGTACATGAAATTCTGAGGGTCATTATGACTAAGTTTTACAGACTACAAGGTCAAATCCTCATGATTTTAACAAAATTTGACTCTCTAGTTAAAATCCTGAGGGTCAAATCAGCTGACAGGCCTTTTGGAAATTTAAAGGGTCGAAGAGTCATTTCAAGGGTCAAATGGACACCCTGTCTTATTTACATCTTACCTTTACTATGGTCTGTAAGTTTACGTTTCATATGGCTGGATGATTTATCAAGCACCATTACTTTCAAAAAGGTCTGAAATTAATATAATGATTTTTTGTTTAATAAGTGAACAAAATGATATTACAATGACTGCGGTCTTCAGCATTCCTGTTTAATTGTTAATAGCGAGGTCGAAGAGCGAGCCTTTAATACGGTAACGCAAGTACCTGCTACATAGTGATGTTTTTGACAACTTTCGTCCGAAGTACTGAATTAACAACTTTTCGATTTACAAGATAAAGATAAAACCCTGGGTATTCTGATTAAAAACGGAAGCATAGACGCAGGTGTCCTGCGCACTTATATGGGACCCATAATTGGACAGGGAACCAAAATAAACAGAAGCAGTGTATAAAATATCGAATGACAATTTTAAAATGGAAAATGTCAAATAAAAATGAACGATTATTTTATACTTTTACACGGTTAAAGTAAATCAAGCTCACTTTGAGGCTTTGCCAGTGAAAAAGTTTTTCATATTATAACCCGATAACTGTGACATGAATTTGAAAAAATAATCGTGAAAAAGAAATATCAATGCTGCATAACATAATCAAGTTAACATGGAGTTATAACTGTTAAATTTATTAACATAAAGCGGTTAGAATAACTAATTTCTGTAAAGCATTTGTTTTACATACATGAGGTACGAATTACAGGTTGTTCTAAAATTATATTTTGAGTACGAAACAAGATATTAGTAAAACGTAAACAAAGTTGGTTTGATATATTTTTCTAACCTAAGTACTTATCATCAAATAAAAACAATAATGTTTTTATAAATATATCACTAAAAAGCATAAGATACCTAAAATGTTGATATTTTTTTGTTTTTACTTTCTTTTATCTTTCCCGCAAAATTTCTAACCGGTGTACATGTAAAATCCACATGTTAGAATAGTTACTCTGGTTTGAAAGAAAGCGAGGAAAGAGCTCTGTACCTTTACCAATTAACTGGAACATACGCGTAAATTTGTAAAGGATATTATTATTGACGACAAAGGTAAGGCAGCCGTGTTGATATTTAATTTTTATTAAAACTTTAGTGTCAAAAAATTTGACAAACATACTGGTCAGGGACCATCAACCGGACACTTTTTGAACATTTTTCTATACAAATTTCATAATTTTAAAGCTAAAGGTACGAAAATTTGACACAGTACAGCTAGGTTCTTCTCCTAACTAACAAACTAGTTTGTTTAGTTCTGATTATTTTGACACTTATATCCAAGGCCCGTCAAGGAGGGTATCAAAATTACCTAAATTGTACATACTACAGTACCATGTGTCCGGACAGATATGTAATAACGTTGATTTAATTCAGATAAAAGCTTTGGTGTTCTTTTTTTTATTTTTAACATGACACACAATATTTCAGCAGCAAATGCAGAAGTTTTGGATATTCTATTGTTTACTTTGCAAATAATTATTGCTGTTATATGAGGTCAGGCATTGCTTTCTTGACCCCCAAATTTCAACGTCAACATTCTTGAAATAGACATTAAAATATTACCATTTACGGAGGTTGAAATAAATTTATTTACTTAATTTTAGAAGAAACATGCATTTATTGTTGATAAAAAGGTGACTGACAACCACTGAACAAAGAAAATTCTAAATAAAGTATTTTCGAGGCCGTCCGGGTTTGGTGGTTGTCCGGTTTTGGTGGTCCCCAACCAGTATTGTATGAAAAATTAAACAGCTAATTAGAAAAAAACAACAGAATACTGTAATAAGTAATACTGTGTAAGTTAACTTATGCATATTATATTATTATTATTATTTCATTATATATTAGAAAAAAAAAACAGAATAATACTGTGTAACTTATGCATATTATATTATTATTATTATTTCATTTTATAAAATAATTTATTAAATAAATTAAACAAAACAAAATCTATCAATATCTTATAAATATAGATCTATTACCAAATAAGTTCAATATTTCTACAAATAACAAAACTGTTCAAATCTTACTGAGATTTTTTTATTACTTTTTTCCCATTGAATATAGTAAAAGTGAATCTGTACATATTGTGAGCAGAAGAATATAAAACCGTAATTAATGCTATGTCAGGTTTGTATAAAAACATGGAATAAGGATGAATATTACAATGAACTAACTAGCCTACTTTTCCGCAGCACTGCAAACATACTTGTAATTCTAAATAATACATGTAATATATAAAATGCAGTTGGCCTCTGTGACCAAGTGGTTTTGGTCCCCAAATGGATTAGGTCCAAGACTTATAGCCCCTCACCAATTGAATGTGAGTTCTAATCCTACCCCAGAGGCTTTGCATTATTTTATGTGAAAAAAACATCTACATCATTGTATTTTGTTCCATTCCATTCCTGTTAATTACATGTAATTGATTATATTTTTTACAGTTGTTCATATCACATGTTAAGAATCCTTTTTCATTAAAGCATTTCGAGAATTATCTTTAAATACATACATGTATTTAAGCTGTAAGTTGGATGTGTCACAATTTGAGCCCAAAGTGAATATATTTAATAGACAAAGTTGTTTCTAAAAACTATAATTGAAAGGTGAGGGACACTCATACAACACAAGGTTGGGTTTAACTTTAATAATTTTATTAGCTACTAGTTTCAATTGATATGATACACTTCATCAGGCATCAACTTGGTTCTATTAGTCAAATTTATCTTCAATTTACTTCAAAGACTGGTGAAAGTAAGTTTGTGAGTTTATACATATTATATACATATTTTATTCCAGACCATACACAATACATGATATAGTTTATTTACATACAGTCAAGTTTATATATTAAATCTTATCAAGTTCTTCTCTTAGTTTGATGATGGGTGATTACTCTGAACAGATATCTTTTAGCAAAAAGCAATAGTTCAAACAAAGCCTTGACTTACAGTGAAAAAATGTTCAAAACCTTTGCAATAAACTTTTGCCAAATATAGTTTTCTGAGTATAAATGACCCTTACTGGCTTTGGTTTTTATCCCAAGTTCTACTGTATTTTGCAACTAAGTAAATTACATTGTACCAATTTATCTACCTGTATTGGCATTTGGTCTTTTAATCATGTTTTACTATATTTTGCAACCAATCAATTTAGCTATAGGTATTTTATTATGTTTCAGCAGCATATGCATGTCAGAAAGAAGATAATGACTATAGATTAACATTATTGAATTAGGTCATTTAAAGCATGATGTCCCATTTAGAAAGCTCAGGCTTACATTGAGATTATATAATTTTTATGTAGAGTTTTCTTTTCTATAACACATTTTATTTATATCTGTCATATTGTGTATTATTTTTCATCTACTCTTTGAATTATTTTTGATATAGGTGGTGATTTAAATATTTCTCAGTAAACAGATGGATAAAATGTTGAAACAATTCTTTTTCATGACTTATTAAAAACAGTTTAAAACATTCCACTAAAAAATGTCTTCTGAATAGCGATGTTCTTAAAAGTTATCCAAAATAATCTTCTTTCAAATAAAGTTTTTTCTAATATCAAATTAAAGTTTATTGATCTTTAGATTTATAATATTGATACAACACTTGATTGATAATGAAAAAAAAAGTGTCAAGGGTTTCCCTGATAATTTTAGTAATTTTCTTGTGAAGATTTTGTACAATTTCAATTTAATTTGCGGCTTTATTAGAGAACTTTAGAGAGTCTTTAGACAGTTTCAGATAAAAAGTGTAATGCTTCTTGATAACCATCTCTCAGTGTGGGCTTTAATTGGATCCCCTTTAATTGCTGTTTCCATCTTCCTGCTGATAAGCCTTATGGCTTTTTAGCTCACCTGTCACAAAGTGACAGGGTGAGCTTTTGTGATCGCTTTTCGTCCGGCGTCCGTCCGTCCGTCGTCCGTCCGTCCGTCCGTAAACTTTTGCTTTAAATGACATCTCCTCATAAACCACTGAGCCAATTTCATCCAAACTTCACAGGAATGTTCCTTTGGTGGTCACCTTTAAAAATTGTTCAAAGAATTTAATTCCATGCAGAACTCTGGTTGCCATGGCAACCAAAAGAAAAAACTTTAAATATCTTCTTTTAAAAAACCATAAGAGCTAGAGCTTAGATATTTGGCATGAAACATCTTCTAGTGAGTGTCTACCAAGTTTGTTCAAATAAAAGCCCTGGGGTCAAAATTGGCCCCGCCCCTGGGGGTCATTGATTTTCCCTATATGCATATAGTAAAAACTTAAAAAATCTTCTTTTAAAGAACCGTAAGAGCTAGAGCTTAGATATTTGGCATGAAACATCTTCTAGTGAGTGTCTACCAAGTTTGTTCAAATAAAAGCCCTGGGGTCAAAATTGGCCCCGCCCCTGGGGGTCATTGATTTTCCCTATATGCATATAGTAAAAACTTAAAAAATCTTCTTTTAAAGAACCGTAAGAGCTAGAGCTTAGATATTTGGCATGAAACATCTTCTAGTGAATGTCTACCAAGTTTGTTCAAATAAAAGCCCTGGGGTCAAAATTGGCCCCGCCCCAGGGGGTCATTGATTTTCCCTATATGCATATAGTAAAAACTTAAAAAATCTTCTTTTAAAGAACCCAAAGAGCTAGAGCTAAGATATTAAGCATGAAACATTTTCTAGAGTATGTCTACCAAATTTGTTCAAATTAAAGCCCTGGGGTCAAAATTGGCCCCGCCCCGTGGTCATTGATTTTCCCTATATGCATATAGTAAAAACTTAAAAAATCTTCTTTTAAAGAACCATAAGAGCTAGAGCTTAGATATTTGGCATGAAACATCTTCTAGTGAATGTCTACCAAGTTTGTTCAAATAAAAGCCCTGGGGTCAAAATTGACCCCGCCCCAGGGGGTCATAGATTTTCCCTATATGCATATAGTAAAAACTTTAAAAAATTTGTTTTAAAGAACCCAAAGAGCTAGAGCTAAGATATTAAGCATGAAACATCTTCTAGTGAGTGTCTACCAAGTTTGTTCAAATTAAAGCCCTGGGGTCAAAATTGGTTTTCCTTATATGTGTATAGCAAAAACTTAAAAATCTTCTTTGAAAAAACCCAAATAGCTAGAGTTTAGATATTAAGCATGAAACATCTTTAAGTAAATATCTACAAAGTTTGTTCAAATAAAAGCCCAGGGGTCAAAACTGGCCCTGCCCGAGGGGTGTCATTGTTTTTAACTATATGTGTATAGTAAAAACTTAAAAAATCTTCTTTTAAAAAACCCAATGAGCTAGAACTTAGATGTTTTGCATGAAACAACTTCCTATGGGTGTCTACCAAGTCTGTTCAAATAAAAGCCCTTGGGTAAAAATTGGGCCGGGGGGGGGGGGGGGCTCTATACAGGTGAGCGACCTCAGGGCCATCATGGCCCTCTTGTTTTTGTTTCCCCTGGCTTTATCAACAAGTAAAGTGATAGATGCAATAGAAGTTCAGCTTGGTTTCGCTTCAAAGACTGGACATTAATAAAGATGTTGATGTATAAAAAAGCCAGTGTTTTGTCTATGCATGGTAATGAAGGAATGCAGATAGTGTGTGTGTAGCCATAAAGATTAGAGGATTTAGATAGGGCTGGTCTAGGGAGTAAAGGTCTGTGAATTGGACAGATATCTGTGTAACACTTTGTGTTGTATGTACATTATCAATGGCTATTTTTCAGACATTATACGAGAGGATTTGAAAATTTCTGTAAGTTATTTCAAGCTTATAATAAAACAGAGATTGTTGTGCAAGAAAGGGGATCAGAGAATATTGTTCTGTTGTGATTTATATGGGAAAGTAATGAATTGTACATGTCAGATCATATCTTAGTAAGTTACAGTTATTGTTAAAGGTTCAACACTTTATTATAATGAACTCAATCATCTTGCTTTTAATTTCAAACTGTCCAGGGCAGCTCCAACTAATTGTACTTTGCAATGAGTAGTCTCAATATTTCGACGGCAAGACAGACCGATTTTATAATCTTATATTTCATAGATGTCGAGAAGGGCATATATAAAAAAGCCCTAAAGCGCACAATTTGTTGGGCTATGCAATGAGATATTGTGCTATTTTGTGTCCAGGCAGTATCTAGCGAGATTCTGACCCAGAAAGAAAATATCTCAGAATCTAGCTTTGGCATTATTATTAATTTAATTATTTTGAGTAAATTGAGGGGTTTCATGTACAGAAGCAGCCAATATGCTATACAGATGTCAAGCTGCACTGATTTTACATGTCAAAATTTTTCAAAAAAATTCAACTTTTTACTCATTTATATTTTCATTCTGAAGATTTTTGCATTTTTTTATTTCTAAAACATTTATATTTCCATTGAATTTTAGCTATGAGAATTTCCTCAATAAAGTTCACAGAAAATTTAAGAAGATTTATTAATTTAATATTGTAATACTATGCAATGACAAAATGACTATTGTAATAAGATTCAATTTAGACTTCTGATCTTTTAACCATGTTAACTGACATAAAACTTTTTCTGCTGTTTACAAGTTATGTTAACAATATAGCTGTTTGTATAATATTTTAAAGACCCATTAAGCCTCAAAAATGCAAATAATTTTGCAAAATCATTTTAATGTCCTGTTACAGTTTCCAAAACATTTTCCAAATCATAAAGCCATATACATAGAGATGAGCCATCTTCTGCTTCTTTTGTATTTTGACAATTAGTGCAGTAATAAATATTTGGAATTTTAGTATTGGAATTCAAAATACTTCTTTGTTTACTGCTTTTGCTTGCTTTCTTTATCACAAATTATCATACATTCAGCACTATTTTCTTATAGTGGTAAGCATCATACATTATATGCTAAATCATGATAACAACATTATGAAACAATTTTCCTTTTCTACAAAAAGAAAGAAATATTCATATCTAAGGCTTTAAGTGCCTTTAAAGTTTAAACTTTATGCTACAAATAGACATGTTCTTTGTATTGCTCATAAATTGATGGTGTAATTTTAATTTCTATGCAGAACAACAATTTTAACTTCAGTCTAGACCAAAAAATTGATCGTGGATAGAAAATAATGACTTTTGCATTTTGATACAAACGTTAATGAGGGTATGATTGATGTGGTTTGAAATTTTCAATATATTTATCTCTAATATAAATGGTCTTTGTCAAAACTGAACAATTTCATTTCTTTTCCTGGGTGTTTAATTGGACTCAAGTTCTGCAATGTTTTAGCTAATATATATTTAGATATAGTCTCTCCCTTTGTTTTTCAAGGGCCAGTTTCGGGCCCCATACAAAAATTGTCCCCGTTGCCCTCTTTGAATAGTATATAATTATTTCTCTCCATTTTCTGAAAAAGAAAAAACCACCTTCCCTCCAACAGTCAATGAAAATGAAAAATATTTTTCGAGGTCTACTTCAACATAAGTGGGACAATGAGGGGCATTGCAGTTTCTAAAAATAATTATGCAGGTACGGGGCAGGAAACATGTGTGAACTCAGCAGTCAGGTAGCTGATGTCACTTGGGAGGATTGCGAAACATTCCGAAGGTAACATGTGTTCAAGTCACAATCCAGCTGCTCTTTAATTTTCTGACCCTGTGACAATTTCGTGCAGGCTTCTTTGAATCTGTATAATGCATTGATAGCATATAGAAGTTCTTATCATAGCTAAACTGTCCAGATAGTTTAGATGGATGTGATTGTGGTATATGATAGGCAGTAGAGCATGTATACATGTGGTTTTACACCTGGTACATGCCTGCAAACATGCATTGTAAACATACCTCGTGATTAATTCAGGTTTTGTTCTACAAACAATTCTAATGGGTTGAATATTAGGCCAGGCTGTACTGTTCCCAGTTAATCAGCTGCTTCTATTTCTGGAAATGGAATATAATCTTTTTTCTTTTCTTTTTTCAAGGGCTGTCATTGAATATTGCTGTATTAATGTATCATCGATATTCAACATTGGATTTAATTATCGATTAACAATTTGGGATATTGAACAAATATTAAACCCATTTCTCCCTGCCCTGTGAACTATTTCTCTACTTTTTAGCTCGACTATTTGATAAGAATAAGTAGAGCTATTGTAGTCACCCGAGCGTCGGCGTCGGCGTAACCACTTATGTTAAAGTTTTTGTAATAGTTCAAATATTTTCAAAGTCCATTGACATATGGCTTTGAAACTTTGCACACTTGTTCACCATCATGACCCCAACCTGTAGACAGGAGGAGGTAACTCTATCAAGCATTTTGACAGAATTATGCCCCTTTTTCGACTTAGAATTTACGTTAAAGTTTTTGTAATACCTCAAATATTTTCAAAGTCCATTGACATATGGCTTTGAAACTTTGCACACTTGTTCACCATCATGACCCCAACCTGTAGACAGGAGGAGGTAACTCTATCAAGCATTTTGACAGAATTATGCCCCTTTTTTGACTTAGAATTTACGTTAAAGTTTTTGTAATAGTTCAAATATTTTCAAAGTCCATTGACATATGGCTTTGAAACTTTGCACACTTGTTAACCATCATGACCCCAACCTGTAAACAGGAGGAGGTAACTGTATCAAGGATTTTTTTTACTATCAAGCACTAAGAATAGTCGAGCGTTGCTGTCCTACCGACAGCTCTTGTTCAAATACTTGTCTCTCTTTTGTCTTGGCTAACTTGATCCTTAGATTTAATTTTCAGAGGTCAGTAAGAAATAAGAACAAGAAAATTTAAATGTACTTCCTGTAAGTATTTTGTATTAGTGATGACTTAAAAACAAGCAGACATTTCACCTGTATGATGATGATGACACACTTTCAAATGGTTTCCACTGTACTTGTTAAAAAATATATCATATTTCTATAAATTTATTTTCATTGACAGCAGTTTTTTATTTGTTTGGGTAGTCAGACCAAACAAATAATGGGAGCGAGATTTCAGACCCTGATGTGCTTATTTGCAAAAACCGAAAGTAGTCCAAACTCCTCGAAGCACTTACTTCCCTTTATACACTAATGTGGAAAAATTAAAGGGAGATCACTGTGTAAAGATTGTCAAATTACAGGCGCATTAATTTTCAAGCTTTCTCGGGGAAGAAAAAATAGTTACCAATTGGTCGAAGATTTCTTATATTGTGTTATTCTTTATCAATATACATGGTTATATAAAGCTCCATGATTCCTACATCAGTGTTAAACAACAGGTTTACCGTGAACAAAATATATCAAAATTAATAAGGGTTACAATTTCTAATTTAGAATAATGTGGTTTTCCCCAGGCCGTTACCTTATAACTTCCCTGTGGCCGCGAGGTTTATACACTCGCTTAGGAAGCGAGAGGTCTGGAGTTCAAATCCAAGTTAAGACAACTTATGTTTTTGTTTTAAATAAATATTGAATTGAATTTCAATGTTGCAATCAGTCTTAAAGCCAATTTACTACAGTTATAACACTGGAAACAGCATTGCTGGCACTATACAAAAACAAATTGGTTTATAATCTCACAACCTTCACCTTTCTGACATTCCGAGACACAATCAAATTCAGCGCCTTCTGTGCTTTGATTTACCCATGTGATACCCTGCTGAATTTGTGTAATTTATTAACATCAGATTTGGAATAGTACATTCAGAGCAGCAGGTTTTGATACATTTTGTACAAAATGTATATCAAAATGCATAAAAAGAGCTACCAGCCAGACTGGAAACTTTTGGCTCATTTTGTGATGTAATGTCAATATTCCTCCCAAGAAAAATAGACTGCATGCAAGACTGACAGAGTCAGGGATGATGTGATTTGTTATACTTTTACTTTAAGCTTGCTGGCGGCATCTTAATATTCTCGTGTATCAGACCAGTGCAGACCAAGATCAGCTGGCAGACATCTGACTGTCATCCTATCATGGTCTGCACTGCTCACTATTCACTCAGTACATATTTTGAAATTTTCACTTAATATGATGAATAGCATTGTCCATATTGAAAGAATTTATAGATAAGTCCATTTAAGATATTTAGCATTTCTAACAGTCAAAATAAATTTGTATTCCATCAACAAAAATTAGGCCAAGTCACTCAAAACTAAAAAGTTCATGGACAGTACATATAATAATAATTTTGGTATTCTAGGCTTAATTAGTTGAATTTTTAACACTTTGCAGCTGATAGATGTATAATGGTATGGCCTCATGAATCTTGGCTTAGTGATTTGTTAGATTATTAGCTGGATATAGAGATATATCTCACCCCTGTTAAACACATTTATCAATCATTACTAGGTATGTTCAACAGAGATTAAAATTTTCAACCTGTCATACATATATAATGATGTTTTATCTTTGTATGATTTTATACAATATTTGTGAAGGATTTTTTCTTTTTCTTCTAGATTCAGAGAACCCTTGTTGTGGTTAAAAAGAAATCATGGAAGTTAAAAGCCGGAACATTACAATATTTTGAAATAAGGTGGAACATTAGAATTATTTTGAAACAGGTAAGGTTTTGTTATAATTATGCTTTCTAACTGTATAAGATAGATTGTAAGATATTTATTTTTAAATATACATAACTTCAGAACGTTATATACATAACTTCAGAACGTTCAGGTAAAAAAGTTAAGTTATAATAACCTGCACAGTAAGCCACTATATAATGCAACAGAAACTGATGTTATTATAAAGAATTTTTTGTATGTGTTAGATTTTAAGTCGCAATTGTTATGTGTAATGCAAGCTTAACTGGTGGATGAAAACCTAAATGTGCTGCTCATGCTAATTTATTGGCAGTAATAATGATGGCAAATAGTAATTAGTATTGAACTAGTTATACTATTTTATGTTGGCTTTAAAAAAAAAATTTGCAACATAAAATACTACAATGTAAAATAATATCTCAAATGCCTCTGGGATATCATATGAAATATATATTGCAGTCAGTTATGTACACCAATTATCATGCAGTTTTTATGTTATTGATCATTAAATCGAGATAGAGAGGAGAAAAAAACATGAATGGTTTTAAAATACAAGATCAAAGATTAGGAAAAAGTAGCACTTGAAAAATACAAAAAAAAACAACAAACCACTTTAAGTTAATTTGTGAATTAATGCCATTGTTTTACAAAAAGTACATTTTGTGCTATGAGTGATTAAACTGAAAACAGTATCAAATTTATCCTAACAGTTTTTTTTGTTGTTGTTGTTTTGGGAGTGTTTTTTTTGTGGAAAAAAATATCAATTTCCAAACATTTAGAATGTGAATTTCACCAGCAATTATTATTATTATGTTAAAAGTTCAGCAGACTATTTCTGCTAGTGATATGATAATTGGATCAGATATTATTGAAGTTATTGATTGATAATTACTGACACTGAATTGGCCAAACATCTGCTCTTTACAAAATGGTCTGGGTTCATCAGAATTTGAATAGGCTCGAGTTACACCCTTTAAACTCTGCTACTACAACCTTACAATATTAAACACTTTCCACAAATTGATTTGATTTTGCATAATCCCAAGCCTGCTGAATTTTGTATAGTTTTGAATTTGGAACAGAATTTGGATTTTGATACCATTTAAGCAGCCAACCCAGGTTAGACTGCACAAAGACTTAAATTTCTTTCCCCTCACTGCTGTAGGTTCAAATATCCAGAGGTACTTTGGATTCTTTCATGTAATGAAGCTCTCTGGCTAGCCTATGGAAAGGAAGTGGTTCTACTCAGGTACCTAGCTTATGCCTGAAATATTGTATAAACAGCAATCTGATTTCTTCCTTTTCTGATAAAGCCGGAAAGGTAATGTTATAATATTATGACTAACAATAATGGGGTGACTTAAAACACCGCCAAACAATGAGGGAACAGAGGAGCTTTAACTGGTCTTACTTGAAACTGTAATCTTAGGGGTTTTTTTTAAAATAAAAGCACGGAAAGGTATTGTTACATTCTACTTTGTTTGTGTTATTCTGCTTTTCTAATAACTGGATGGCCCTCATGGAAACCAGAGTGAGCAAATGATTTGCTATTATGCACAGAAGTAAATGGTCCAGACCTTCTTCAAATGGTACACAAATCTCAAAAAATTATTTGTAGTCTGTCGCATAAGAATCTCTATAAAAGGGGAAAATTTCCTTAATAGATTATTTAGTAGGCTTATTAAGGAATTATAAATTCATGAAAATTGTAAAATTAGCCTTCTGAAAGTTTGTCAGTTAAGTACATGTAGTTTTTAGATTAATTTGCATATTAAGGGGATGCAAAAAAAAATGCCTTTACAATGTAAATGTTCTGCACATTTAATCGAGCAATTTATGAATAACCAACCATCCACATTGGTAACATCTTGTATAGAACATAAAAGATCTGTAACTTGTATATATGGCTACATTTAGGGAAATACTTTTCCACATTATTGGCAAAATGCAGAATTATTGTATCCCAGCATGCAGCAGTGGTGACTGGAAATGCATAGATCAGTGTATAACTAAATGCCTGTCATTTTATTACAGGGAGAGGACAGGGCGTTAATGATCAAGAGATAAAAAGGCTCCTCAGTTGGAATTAGTGTGCCTGAAGCTAATGAAAAACTGTTTGATTGCCTCCCTCGTCAGTGATTTAGGAGGAAATTTTCTGAGATTTTTACAAGAACCAGAGTCAGGAAACTGTGTTTTATGGAAAAGCTGTAACCGAAACTGTGAGATATTGTGCTCAAGGTAATACTTTTATTTATTTATTTTTGTGTCGCCTCTACGGAGTAGTGGCGACATATAGGGATCACTTCTCCGTCGTCTGTCTGTCCGTCTGTCTGTCTGTCCGTCCGTCACAAAACTTGTCCGGACTACTGCTCATAAACTACTGGTGCAATTTCATCCAAACTTTACAGGAATGATCAGTACCAAGTCTAGTTGTGCATGTTGTCAGCATTTTCCGGTTCAGTGATTTTTGTCAGAGTTATGGCCCTTTAATAATTTTTAATTTTAAAGTTTGTCCGGACTACTTCTCTTATACCACTAATGCAATTTCAATGAAACTTTACAGGATTGATCTATAGCTCAAGTCCTTGCGCATATTGCACGGGTTTTCCGGTTGAATGATTTTTGGCCGAGTTATGGCCCTTTGACAAAAAGGTGTTTTTTTCTGTGTGTTGCCAGATACACAAAAGCTTGTCTGGACTACTCCTCATAAACTACTGGTGCAATTTCATCCAAACTTTACAGGAATGATCAGTACCAAGTCTAGTTGTGCACTGTCCGTCTGTCTGTCACAAAATTTGTCCCATCATGAAATTGGCCATTATGAGGCGACACATGTGATTACTGATCGCTCTTGTTTTTGATAATTTTTACTTGTCAGAATTGAAACAAACAAAAAAAAATTAATAAATTACTTGTACATTGCTATGCTTTACTTAATTGTAAAAGAGGGATATATAAAATATAGTTCAAATTTCATTTAATTTATATAGACTGACTGTTTAATAATTTCTTATGACTGACTAATTATTTTATTCTATGGCAAATTTAGACTGCAAAGACTTAGTAAATTGCAATTGACTTCTTTCACAAATATTTAAACATTTTTAAATAAGAGAATTCTTTAAGAAAAGAGCATAATATATATTGTGTATTATAAGAAAAAATTAATAATGCATACCTGGTACATGTACTTTTAATCTAATGGAATTTTATGGAATTACATTCTGGTTTGTAATTATTCATGTCATTCAAGTAATCAAGCACCCCCTTTGGGAGTTATTGACAGACTTACTTAGACATACTGATTGTACTAATGTAAATGAAGAATATGCTTTAACCAAGTGATCACAATGAATAAATAATGAAATAGTCTCAAAGATAAAAGAGTTATGTCTTTATTTATGACAACGGTAGACAAACGAAGATTACAGTCAATTCTGATCGAAATATAAATTTAAATATAGAAAGAAAGAAATTGGCACATTTTGTTATAAATTCAAATATAGAAAGTTTGGCACATATTGTTATGCTTGCAGTAAAAGTCTATAACAATAGGTACATGCATATGTATAGGCCATCTGTGACATGTAGGGAATGCGGTCTTTTATCTGTAGATATGTGAAGTAGCCTTTATATGTTGTTTTTGTTTAGTTATCTTATTATCTAACTTTGTCATTATATATATACATGCTCATGATTTAAAATTCTCTTTATTTTCATTTTAAGCTCGACTATTTGATAAGAAGTAGAGCTATTGTAGTCACCCGAGCGTAGGAGTCGGCGTAACCACTTAAGTTAAAGTTTTTGTAATACTGCAAATATTTTCAAAGTCCATTGACATATGGCTTTGAAACTTTGCACACTTCCCAACCTGTAGACAGGAGGAGGTAACTCTATGAAAAAAATATAATAGGAAAGTTAATGATGTTGTGGTATTAATGGTTCATTATAAGAAATAGTTTATGAAACACATGTTTTACAATGCTTGGCCTTTTTGTCCAGGTGCAACATCATTTCTACATAACATGATAATTGCTGTGTAATATTACAAATTCTGTAGAGACAGTTTTATGCCACAGTCAATTTACAGCATTCAACAATAATGATTTTTTACTGCCAAGTTTGTAACATCAATGTAAATTGTTTAGATGATTTATAACAGGGGTGCATAGTTCCAATGTTTTCATGATTGGCGTCTAGATTGGAGATGCAATAATATAGGCTCGGTATTCATATGATTTTGGGGTTGTTACTGATATTCAATGTTTCATTTATTTTCCTGGCTCCTCTTTATGTCTGGTAAACATAGGGAGGTTTGACTCTGAGACCAAGATTGGCCCACCTAGCTCTAGAGGGAGAGCATCGAATTTGTAATCCAAGGCTTCATGGTGGTTTGATCCTTAGGGCAAGGCAAATTTCTCATGTAAGAATTGATGTTAGATAATAAGTCTAATGGTCATTTGCTTCTCACAGCTGATTTAGAAATCATGTTGCATTAGTTTTCTGTCACTTGCGGAAAAATTGTTAATTACTGGTCAGTTATCTAGGAAAGCAACTTAGGTGGAACCATCCACCAAGATATGAATGAATATATGTTAAAATTACAAAAAAACCAAACTAGTAAACTCTGGGTTTAGAGAAAGTTGTATGTTGCTCTTTTTATTATCTGAATTGTTTAGCTTACAACAAAACCACAACATTTATCACAGCGTAGGATAGTGTGAAAGTAAAAACTGCACTAGAATTTTCACTTCTTTTCTGTTGACTTTGTGTAATAGACTTTGTTTTTTATTAATTTTGAAACACCCCAGGTTTTTAAAGACCTTACTTAGAGGGGCGGCATATAGATTTTCCCTTGTATGTCTGGCTGTGACAGTCTGTCCATCCATAGACTGATGAAACGGTGGATTGTTGGGGCATCTGTGTCCTTAATGGACACATTTCTGGTTCCAATATTATTATAATTGTAATGGTCAATTAACATTGAGAAGCTTGCAGAATAAATGTCTGGTTTAACTAGATGGATTAACTTTGAATACTTGAAGCAGACGACTAGCTGCAGGTAATGGTGCTTGCAATCAGAGTTGAATTTTCTGTATCAAGATTTAGCTTGTAGCAAGAGACAGCATATTTCCAATTGCAGCAGATGACATAGTGTATGAAATTTTTGTCAGGGAAATATCATAAAGTGGGAGAATTTCATTAATGAATCATACACTGTGATAAAATAAATGACTGTAGCACACTAGTTACTGCCATGTACACATCATCAGACAGTTTTACATGTAAAGTATATATTTTAGTGTCAGTTACATCATTCTGTTCATATGTCTTTTTCTGGCATATATTGTTTTATATAATAAACCTGGAATCAATAGAAAAAATAGATTTTTTTCCTGTCTGCAAGTTTCTATTAGCTTGAACCTTCATATTTTAACATAATTATTCAAGATACCTCTGGATATCTTGACTCAATGACATTTATTTTAAAATAATTAAATATACCTTTGATCCAATTTAGTGACCTTGACCATCAGTTTTCAGAAAATTTCACTGTAACTTTTGAAATATATTTCATTTATACTTTGACACAACTCACTTTTGGACAAGAGCTTGATTGAAATGTATGACCTTGACTTACATCTGATATTAAAAAAAAACATTAGTATTATGTTAGTGATATTTGTATATTTCATAATTATATTCCTCTGGCAAAATGCTTTTTCCATCGTAAAGTCACCATTATAAATGTTACATTTAATTTACATATTGATACAGCTTTACATATAAATGGATACATGGGTTTAAATTATTCTCTTTGATAATGAATCTCCATATATGCAAACTATCTAGATCACAGAAGCTGATGTGAAGGTTTAGTATCTGTTGTTGCTTATACTTTTCACCCCTTATTTTCTGAGGTAATCAAAAGCAAGGCATTTGTTTTTTGTATCAACAAAGTGAGGGTCTGAAGATTGTCGTACACTCTGAAAATGAGTATAATACGTTTCTGGCATAGAAATTTGTTGACTATAATTCTTTAGTTTCACACGCCCAACTATTACAATAACTGGCATCACGGAAAAGGGAGTATCAACTGTTTTTGTTGATATAACCAAGCTTCAGAAGCCTAATTTAGTTACGACTCTTTTGTCTAGTATGATAAAAGTGACAGTTTTGGGCTACTGTTTCATGTTTATAATTGACTAGATTTCTATTTTAAGAGAAACAGCATGTGAGAGTGGTTGTTCAGCTTTGTTGTTACCAATGTATGATGGGGGAAAACTTTAGTGATGTTGATTTAGGACCTAGTCAGAAAAAGCTTAGATTACAAGCAAATAAATCATGGAGAACAATGGCTTTTTATGTTGAAATTCAGTTATTGATTATGTATGTGTTAACATGTTATAAAAGAAGAAGAAAAATAGAGATTAATTTCTATTTATTTCAAATACTGACATATTCTTCAATATTATAAGCAGGTCTGTTTCTTAAATAGAATAATAAAGTTATGCTGAACCTGATTTCTTCTGATGGTGCATTATGCATTTTATATCATAGGGCAATTCTAAGTTGCTGATATGCCCTTCATCCTTTCAGCGCTTCTGTCACACTTTCACACCTGTTTATATCAACTTTATTTATTGACCAACCTTTGATATTTTTGTGGTGATACCTACCTTGGGTTTCTACCCTTTGATGATGTGGCATGTCAAATGGGTCAAAGCCAAATTGAAACTGAAAACAGGTTCAAGATTACTGTTATATTCTTCATATTAGTAGGGTATCATTTTAGCTTTGTCAAATTAACAAGGGGTCTCAGATCCATCTATGTCCAACTATGTTCATCTTGCAGTCTTGTTTTAATGACTGATTATGGACAGTAAATACTGTCTATAAAGATTATCATTGGATAAAAGTCTTTGTTTCATAAAACTTATCTTTCAAATTTAAGCTCCCAAAACAAATAGAATTTGATGTTTACTCAAGAACATGAAAACACGTGATTATGGTTCTAAACATATTACATAGACTTGTCCATCTTTCAATCTGGACAAAATCATTCATCACTTTTATGGAAAATTTTGAGCTTGATACTGACTGAATAGTGAACAGTGCCAACTTATTTTGATCTGCAGTTTGCACTAAGTCACATGGGTAGATTCAGCACAGGTTTGCAAAGATGTACCTGTAAATAAATACCCATTTTATTTAAGAAATCTAGTTTGATGTCAACA